ATAGCAGCTAGGCAGTAGCCGTAACGACGACGATGAAATAAAGAACAGAGATGGGGCAATGGGGAATATGCGACCGCATGTCATCTCGAGATAATCTCGCCTGCACAATATTACGCAAATACAAGCAACGACCTTGCGAGTAAAACGACGCTTAATTGACCAGGCAGAGTGTCACTAATGCGCTCACGACGCATATGTAGGCTACTGTTCACATTGTTTTCTTGAATGAAGAAACGTTGATTGTCGATTCTTTTGAGTAAAGCACTTTACTTTGCGCGTTCGGATGTTTGAGTGCAAGTTGGGCTTGGGCAACACGTAAAAAATAGCCAGTCACACAGCCTTGTCTAGCTTGATGTGCATCATGTGAATGGCAAGTAGGGTAGCTTTGATGCTCTTGCCAGACGAATAGGAACGGGAAGACTGACTTTGCAGAGCAAGACTGACCTGTGGCAAATGGTATCAGTGAACCTGCTGGTGCTTACCCTGCGAGATAGGCGAAGCTTAGTTTAACGGCAGATACAACTATGACTTTGTACACCAGGAAGATCATCAAAAGAGCACTCGTGCAAGCTCAGTGCCATGCCGGCGTGTTTTTACTACACTTTGAATTTAATGTAGAATTGCAAGTATATAACACAAAGGCTGGAAACAAATGTCGACAAGAGAGAGAGAGAAAGTTTGAGGTGTATTCGGGCACGCTTGCGACCCACTATATCCGGCTTTGTTAGCCATACATCCGGCGATGTGTAATCGTACCACCCCTCGCGGGTATCAAGCCACGTGCCTCCCGGTTCCGGTGCCAGTGCTTATTCACCCGGCAACCGAGGTCAATTGACAAAGGTAGGTCAGAGCTTCAACGGGTGTTGTATTATCTGCGTTTCGAAGATGTTTGTCCTGCGTGTTCGGATTCTAGCTCCTTCCTCTCCAATTCCTTTAAGTAGTACTTGAACAAATACTCTACCTCATGCTTGTCTCTATGAACCGTCAGCACACGAACTATTTGGTCGACACCAAATTTGATCTCGCCATAGTTGTAGAATTCAATATATCGTAGCCACTGCATAAAATCCATTCGGAAGTGGAACCAGGCTTCCTCGCCTACTCCGTCCGTTGGATCAACTCGTTTGTCTAATGCGAATGGCATCATGTGGTACACGTCTTCAGGGCTCAGTCCTGACGCCTTCCACGATTCAAATATAATTTTCTCCAAGTTACCTTGCGATCGTGTCAACATCCATTGCTGCATCGTGTCGACGCGCGACGTGTACTTGTCGAAGTTTCGAAGCCAATTGATAAAACCCGCTATATCGCGAATTCCTTGTCGTGCGCTCATCACCAGCTTAGCTATAGCCCTGTCCTTTAAATTTTTCGCTAAAGTCATGTCCGTCAGCAGCTGGCGTAGACCCACATCTTCCTCTAATCCCATTATACCAAAGGCATACAGTAGCCTCTGTACGGTCGTGTCCCTCCGTAGTTCATTCAGAACTTCCTCCCTCTTCGTCGCAGCTATGGCATCGTCACCAGGATTCGAAGCTATCGCATTTGCCATTTCCTCCCGCCGCTTGTCCATCCCGTCATCGCGAGAGAAAATAATCGAGCGATCCATGTACTCGTCAATGTAATCGAGCCACTCCTTAAATCTTCCGTAGAAAGTATCCAACGCCTCCTTACTTCGAGTGCCGGTCTCTCCAGGCACGACATCATCGTAAATAGGCATCAGCTTGTAAACTTCCGCAGGGGACTTACCCGACTCTAGCCATACTTTGGTCACTTTCGGTCGAATCTTTGGGAAATCAGTGTACAAAAGTTTCTGCAATTTGTCAGCGCGTTCCGGCACAAGCGAAGTGGATACAAGCAATAGCTCTTCGGGGTCTCTGAACTCAAACAGCACCTTGGCTACCAAGTGGAATTGATTTGGTCCATGGACCATGTCAAAATACGCAATATACTCCACGATACTGTCATAAATTTTGGGCCACGACTTTGCCGCTCCGACATCACCGCTGAGCTTTTCCAATGTTCCGATTGGCATCATGTGGTAGGCCTTTTTAGGGCTTATCCACGCCTTCTTCCACAGAGGAAACATCACCTTCGAACCAAATCTATCGAACATCACTCTTTGCAGGTCGATGGCACGATCTTTCATACCTTCTTCGTCATGGAGCCAACGGAGAAATTTCACTAGCCGCTGTTTATCCCCGCCAACACTTTCCAGCAGATGCTCAATGACAACAGTGTCAACAAGACGGCTGGAGCGTTTATTATGCTCGTCAACAAACATGATCCAATACTTGAGCTTGTCGTTGACCACTTTCGATTCCCGCGTCGCTTTTACCTCAATTTGCTCGAGGACTTTCAGTGGGTGCAAATTCGGCGGCAGATGCGGAAGCGCTGCGTCGATTTTACAGATCTCGTCGATTGCAGCTAGCACAGTGCTTTTCCACTCCGCCCTCTCCTCGTCCTTCCAGAGCTCGAGGTCGATCACTTTGTCCGTAACGTCGTGTGACTTCGGGAGGCTTTGCGCGGAGGATGCATTCGTCGTGTCACGAGAAGACACAGTGACTAAGTCAAGGGCAGGACCATAAGTGTGGGCGCTGGCAGCAGTGGTCGGGGCAACACTCCTCAATTGGAAGATGACGCAGACGGTGGCCAAGCGCATGATGACCACAGAGCACTTTGCGGAGTGAGAGAAGCCAGCTGCAAAACCTATTTGTCGGACCACGTGAGCCACCCAATCGTCGACCAGCTCTTGACCTTGCGAGACCTGGTCTCTGTGCAACTCGCCAGCACCCAGATCTGGTCTTGTACTACTTCAAGTAGTCAGAGAATGGACATCGCCGTATTGTGTGAATAAAGCCAGGCCTCGACTCCAAGGTGCCCGCTATGTTGGCGTCGACTTTTGCTGCCAGTCATGCCTGTGATCAGTGTATGCTTGTGTGATCAATATACCGGGACAAGCGCTTCTACCACTTCGGAGCGCATGAGCTCTTCGCCAAAAGCGACAATCTTGCGTACAACAGCGACAGAGCAGATCCACTGCACTGAACCCAACTATGCTTCCCACTTCAACAAAGGGCTGCACTTTCCCACTTCGATCGTTTTTTAGGCACAGCGCCACCATCCTGCGTTCAGAAGGCGGGCACGTGTAGCCAGCAAGACGAGCGAGGGAAGACTTGTCGAGATGCAAGCTAGAATGCACGCACAATGGGGGGCAAACGTGAATACAGTCAGCAAGGATCCACAGCTGTACTGCACAGAACAGGCGCAGGCTCGCATGGAGAGACCAATCCGAGGCAAAGTCTATCGTAGAATTGCTGCGATGTTGCGTCCACCTAATTTCAGAGACGCCAAGTTTGATTGAAACGCTCTGAAGTCAAGCGAGTGCAATTGCGGAGCCGAAGACAATATGTCTTCTGCCGCTCGGAAAACAAATGTCACTGAGACAGATGATTCCCTCGGTTGATGGCCACTGATGGGTCCGATGACGCGCGAGCAGCAACTGTCTCACGAAAGCCAGCGGCGTTTCGGCACGACGAAAGCCTCGAGACGCTTGTGAACGCGACGTGGTCCAGGGGCACCTGTCAAAGAGGTACGAATGGCCCCCAAAGCTTTGATCGGTAAATGGCAGTGTCCAAATTTGCCACTTTCGCAGGAGTGGACAGTTCGCGCGTGCTGTTTGACCATTGCTCGTCGCGAAAAGATACGGTAGAAACCTGGAGGAGTGTAAAGGAGCAGACCATTCATACAGGCCCTGCTACAGTCGTACAACCATGATCATGTAGTAAACGATGTCCCGAACCTCAAGTGTATCACGCCGACAGAGCGAGAAGCTCACAGTAGTAGATCCTTACTACGTAAAGCAATCGCGTTCTATCTTCAGTTTCAATAGATTGAACACGCTTGCTTGGCGTAGCAAGGATGTGCATGGATCGCATCAAGTTCGCCACCCGCCTCGATCGAACATACTCACACGATCAATAGAATGTTCACGATGTAAGCGCGCCTCCATCGAGACGGACGAGACGGTGGTGAAAGTATCGCCTTTCGTAGCGCCAGCTGCTTCGTCGACAACGTGTTCAGATCCCCTTTGACGTTTGCGATCTTGCAACGATCGACCCGATGATTAAACAGTACGTTACCAGCTGAAACGCGCCGCACTTTGCAATGCGTTCATAGCGTATACGATTCCGTCCAACTGATCCTGACATTGGAGTCAATATCGCTATGCTGAGCGACTGGTAGCGTCGTTGGAGGTGCAACAGCAATCTCCTTCGTTGCCATGGTCGATGAGCTTCGACTGGAAGCGAAAGCGATGGAGCTCGCTCGCTATAGGATAGAACGAGTGTATTGTGGTAGGACTGAGTAGATCATCCAGAACTCGCATGTGCACTGGAAGCAGTTGAGGGGAAGAGTTAACGCATCGAACACTTCTTCTAGCGCAGGTTTACTTACCTAGCAGCAAACACATTGAATCGACAGGGTTGGTGCACGGCTGACGAGATATATGCCTTTTGTATCGCATGCCGTAGCGGCGAAAGGTAGGGGTGATAGAGACGGGATACGACATGCACGTTTTCGCAAGAGAGGCGCGCGTTCATAGCAGCCACTTCCACGGTGGTCGCAATAAGTATTCGCGTGCACTTTGTTGAGGCATATCAACCGTCGCACGGTATCCTACGCCACAACAACGAAGAGCAAGTGCATTGCATAGTAAGACATACGCAAGAATCGAGCAGAAGCAAAACGCGCTGTCATCCAGCGATATCGTTCGCAGGACAGATACACCAGCGTCTTCGTTTGTCATGATTATCTCGGCATCTTGCGATACGCGGTCCTCGGCGATCAGAGCCTTTATCTTTGACATGCAGCCTAGAATGGACTCAAGCACTTGTATGGCAAATGCGTGTGAACACGAGCCCAGCAACATCTCAATCCCGGCCGGTACCAACAACGCCTCCGTTTACTTGCCTTGCATCACCAGATGAAATGGCATACATATGTCAGGGGTGCAAATCGTCGACATGTGTGGCACATCTGCGCGACGCTTTGGAACTGAGCTGCCTCTTTGCACATTGTGCGATCGCGAGCATCTCAGTCACGGATGTGACCTTCTCGCGAGGCTTTCCAGCGACTTGACCGCGGCGGGTCTCTTCAGCGCAAAGACGTGCATAGTCAGCCCACCCGACGAGCTGCTTGTCCGGATCGCGCTGTGCAACGAGCATCTTAACAGCCTCTACTCCACCCAAATTGTCACCGGCGTTGTCGTCGCTATGAAGGAAGTTTCCAGCAGCAAAGTCTATCATCATGCACCCTACCGTCTCCCGTGCATCGACAATATTGCTGCCGATAATACCAGTGGGACCACGCTTCACCCAGCCGGCACAATACAAGCCCACAACAGGCTTCTTCTCGCCGCTGCTCAGTGTCGACACAACTCGGCCTCGCTCGTTCAAAACCACATGGCGACGGCTGTCAAATGGCACATCGGGCTCAATCGGCAGTGACTTGTATCCGATACTGCGCAACACAAGACTGCATGGAATGTCTTCATAGGATCCTGTGCCTACGGCGCGCTGCTGGTTCGGCTCGCCCTCCAGCTTCGTGCTCTCCAAACGAATGGCTTTCACTCGTGACGGGTCGTGCTCGTCGGCAAGGATTTCTCGCGGCAAGCTCAAAAACTTGAGTTGCACAACACGCTTGGCGTCGCCCGTGCGCTCAAAGCGGTCTGCGGCCTTGCGCAGCAGGTCGTGCATGCGTTGGCGAGCGCGCTGGCCTTGGATTTCCTGCTGGGACGCAGGCGTCAGGCTGCGCTCGAGCTCCTTGGGGTCCACCACACACGCAACATTGTCCAGCTTGGTCAGCTCGCGGATCTCCTTGCTCGTGAACGCCGCCTGCGCGCTCCCTCGTCGTCCGACCACCACCACCTTCTTGATGCTGCTGTGGCCGAGCGCCCTCGCCGCGTGCGCTGCAATGTCCGTCGTCGCCAGTTCGTCGACGTTCTTTGTGAGGAGGCGGGCACAATCCAGCGCGACGTTGCCCTGGCCAATGATCACTGCTGTCTCCGTCTGCGCCAACGTCAGCGCCAGTTGCCCGCACGCGGGGTGGCCATTGTACCAGTTCACGAACGCACGCGCGGCCAGAACGCCCTGCAGCTGCTCCCCTGGTATGCCCAGCTCGACGTCTTGGGCCGCTCCGTAGGCCAGTACCACTGCGTGATAGTGGCGCTGCAGCTCCGCGAGCGTCACGTCTTTGCCCACGCACACGTTCCCCAGAAAGCAAACGCGGTCGTCGCCAGCCACGCGGTCGAAATCGGTCGTGACGCTCTTTACTTCCGGATGGTCCGGTGCAACGCCCGAGCGCACGAGCCCGAACGGCGTCGGCAACGCCTCGAGCATATCCACGCGCACGCCGGCGTGTTGCTTCAGCAGGTACTTCGTCACGTAGAAACCAGCGGGTCCTGACCCGACGACGCACACACGACGAAGAGGAGCGTCGGCCGCAGCGGCTGATTGGCAGAAGCGACGCGCGGGACGGGCGCCGGTCCTGGGCAGACGACGCACCGAGTGGTGCGCCCAGCGGCTCAGCATGGTGTTGTGCGTGGCGGCGGGGGCGAGAGCACGTACCGGTAGGCTGTAGTGTAGTGGAGGGCCGGACCAGTATGTAATATGGCAGGTTCGCCGGCCTCCCAATAAATCATGTTCGTTGCAGAAAAAGAGCCGTGGTAAACAGGTTGCCTTTCACTGCATGTCGCAGCGCAATGGCCTCCATGGTCAAGCGCCACGTGCGGCAGCCGGATACGCGTCGCGCGCTTTCGCACGCACGGCACGCCATGTCAATGGACTAGCGACATGCGAGGCGTCTAGCCGATCCGATCAAAGAGCGAGCGCCGCCGGCTGTCGACGGCCGATCAAGCAGGTCTCTGCTTGAGGTTGGCGCTCTAATCCTCTCGCACGCAGCTGCGTGGCTCGGCTCTGGCCGCGCCAGCTGGTTGCTCGATCAGAGTCGGCAGCCAAACCTCCAGTGCACGCGTTGCCACTTGGCCGGTCACTTGATCTACCGGTATCAACGCGCCCGCACGGCCTTGGCATTCCGCATTCGTCGCGCGCGCGCACTCGCTCGCCCCTCCCCCTCGTTTCCCTTTCCCTTTCCCTTTCCTTTTCCCTTTCCCTTTCCTTTTCCTTTTCCCCCTCTGCTTGCCCGACTGTGCGTTGCCTGGCCGAACCCCCCTCTGCGTTTTCGTGCGCCGAGACACACCATGAGCGACCTGCAGATGGTCACCGGGGCCAAGTGCTTTGTCCCCGACGAGACGCACGTGTGGCTGGCCGCGCAAGTCCTGCGCGACGAGAACTCGGGCGACGGCAAGACGCGCAAGATCTACTGCACCGTGGAGCTCCCGGACGGCGGGACGGAAGAGCGCTGCGTGGACATGCTGGCCAAGAAGACCAAGGCGCTGCTGGCCGTGCACGAGCTCGAGACGCTGCCGTACCAGAACGAGCACGTGGGCCCCGAGGGCATTGAAGACATGATTACGCTCAATTACCTGCACGAGGCTGCGATTCTGTTTAACATTAAAAAGCGCTTTTTGTGCGAGCTCCCGTATACGTACACCGGCGACATTTGCATCGCCATTAACCCGTACAAGTGGCTCCCCGAGCTCTACGCCGAGGAGCAGCACCGACGGTACTTGCACCAGCCCAAGGAAGAGCTCCCGCCGCACGTGTACGCGACGTCGGTCGCGGCCTACGACAACATGCGGCGCTCGGAGTGGAACCAGTCGATCCTCGTGAGCGGCGAGTCGGGCGCGGGCAAGACCGAGACGACCAAGATCCTCATGAACCACCTCGCGACGATCGCGGGCGGCATGAACAACTCGACGATCAAGCGCATCATCGAAGTGAACCCGCTACTCGAGTCGTTTGGCAACGCTAAGACCGTCCGGAACGACAACTCGAGTCGCTTTGGCAAGTTCACGCAGCTCCAGTTTGACCAGCAGGGCACGCTCGTGGGCGCCAAGTGCCGCACGTACCTCTTGGAGAAGACGCGCGTGATCCAGCACGAAGCGCCCGAGCGCAACTACCACATTTTTTACCAGCTCTTGGACTCGCCCGCCATGGCGGCGGAGCTCCAGCTCGACGCGACCAAACACTATGTCTACACGGGCAACAACACGGCGCAAAAGATTGAGGGGCTGTCGGACGAAAAGCACTTTGGCAAGACGCGCGAAGCGCTGGCGCTCGTAGGGCTCTCGCACGAAGAGCAGCAGCCGCTGTTTGAAGTGCTGGCGGGAGTGCTGCACCTGGGCGAAGTACAGCTGCAGTCGGACGCGTCGGACGATGAGAAGTCGAACATCGCCGAAGGCGATCGCGGCGCGAGCTCGGCGACCGAGATGCTGGGCGTCACGTGGGCAGCACTGGAGACTGCGCTGTGTTCGCGGACCATGCGCGCGGTGAACGACGTGTACAGTGTGCCGCTGAAGAAAGAGCTGGCGATGAACTGCCGTGACGCGCTGGCGAAGGCTATCTACTCGAACGTGTTTGACTGGCTCGTGACGACGATCAATCACTCGCTTGCGGACGATAAGAACATGGCGAACCACGTCGGTGTGCTGGACATTTTCGGGTTCGAGCACTTTAAGCACAACTCGTTCGAGCAGTTCTGCATCAATTATGCAAACGAGAAGCTCCAGCAGAAGTTTACGCAGGATGTGTTCAAGACTGTGCAGATTGAGTACGAGGAAGAAGGGATTGTGTGGGACCATATCGAGTACGCGGACAACCAGGACGTGTTGACCGTGATTGAGTCGCGCATGGGTATTATTTCCTTGTTGAACGAAGAGGTGATGCGACCGAAAGGTAGCGAGGAGTCGTTCATGTCCAAGGTGACATCGCTGCACAAGGATGACATGACGCACGTCATTGAGTTCCCTCGCACGTCTCGTACCGAGTTCCTCATCAAGCACTATGCCGCGCCAGTCATGTATGATTCGGTGGGCTTTCTGGAGAAACACAAGGACTCGCTGCTGCCTGACCTCTCTGAGCTCATGCGCGGTTCGTCAAAGCCATTCATCGCAGAGCTTTTCGAACCAAAGCCGGAGCCCACGTCCGCTGCTCCTGATGCGTCGGGCACTCGCCGAAAGCGCGGCGGTGCGTTGTCCATCACGACCGTCGGTACTCAGTTCAAAGAGAGTCTGACAGAGTTGATGGCGACGATCAACTCTACCCAAGTTCACTACGTGCGATGCATCAAGCCCAACCCGATCAAGAGCTCTTCTGTCATGGACCAGTCTATGGTGGTGTCCCAACTGCGATGCGCTGGTGTGATTGAAGCCATTCGTATCTCACGTGCAGCGTACCCGAATCGGTTGCAGCATACGGAGATTCTGGACAAGTTTTGGCTGTTTGTGCCAAGCGGCGGTAACACGCCGGTCGAAAAGTGTCAACTGCTCATGGACAAGCTGAAAATAGAGTCCCCAGTGCAGTATCAGATGGGTAAGACCCGGGTGTACTTCCAGTTGGGAGTGCTGGAAGAGCTCGAAGACCGTCGCAAGAAATTTCTGGATGCCAAGGCCACGTACCTGCAGACTGTCATGATTGGCTTCACGCAGCGCATCAAGTACCTTCGTCAACTGGCTGCGATCATCAAGCTCCAATCAGTAATCCGATGCGTGATTGCGATGCGAAGGTACAACACGTTTATGCATGGCCACATTCTGATGCAGGCTCACTGGCGAGGTTATCAAGGCCGAAAGATTGCGGCAGAAGTCAAGAGCAACCACTACGCTGTCATCATCCAGCGTTATGTGCGCGGCTTTGTGAAGCGTCACCGTTACGTCAACATGCGTATGATGGTTATTCGCGTTCAAGCCTTGGTTCGTATGATGATCCAGAGGCCGAAGTACCTTGCCGCGCTCGAGGAGAAACGTCGTGAGGCTGACATGGCGTATCAACTAAACAAGTTGAAGGCCGCTCTGCAAGAAGAGCAGGAAAGGAATGTCCAGTTGCAACGTCGCAGTAGTGTGACGACGGCGGACACGACTGCTGCCTCGAGCGTGGTGATGGCCGACGCCGGTGGCATGATCGAGACTCTGACGGATGAGAACAAGAAGTTGCGCGAAAAGAATGGAGAAATGAAGATTGCAATGAAGAGTCTGAAGGTCGAGATTGAGAAGTTCAAGAGCGACAAGGAGTTCTCGTCGGCTGGCAACCACGTGAAGCTTCGTCAACTGCAAGACACGGTGCGCGAGAAAGACAAGAAGATCCAAATGCTTGAGGCCGACAACAAGAAGCTGGTGGAGCAGCTCGCAAAGATCTACGTGGACGGTGTGCCGGAGAAGAAGTCGACGCAGAAGAAGTCGATCTTCCGCACGCTAGGGTCCAAGAAGGAGAAGAAGCCTCGCGAGACCGTGCTTATGGACTCACTCACTGGGTCGGATGACCTGAACAGCCGTTCATCAGAGACGCGTCAGTCAGAGCGCCATTTCCCTCGCATGCCGACCATGAACGTCGGCACTCGCTTCTGGAACTCGAACAAGAAGGGTAGCAACAGCGACGGCTTTGACGTTTCAGAGGTCGATGGTGAGGACAGTCCGACGGACAGCTCTGCGCGCAACACGATCGTCAAGAGCGTGGAGGTGGGCGTAACGGGGGCCATGTCGAGTCTGAAGGGTCGTATGTCGGTCGTGAAGGGCATGTACGATTCTCGAAGCAAGCGCACGAACAGCAAGCCCGAGGAGACTGCGGGCACGAGTGAGAGCGTCCCGTCCGCGACGGTCAGTACCTCGAGTAGTGCGAAAGTGAAGCCGCCTCCGGCAAAGCCAGCCGATCGCCCTGTGCGCGAGTCGTTCAACCTGGACGCGCTGCCCGAGGTGTCGCTGCCCGTCGGCTGGGAGGCCAAGGTGTCCCGCTCAACGGGTCGCGTGTACTATGTGAACCGAAAGCTGGGCAAGTCGCAGTTCGAGCGCCCGACGCTCGCGTCGGTGAAGGCCCAGAAGCTGGCGCGCCAGAAGTCGGCAAGCGGACAGTAAGTAGTAGACCAGGCGGCGATGCTGTGACGACAGCCCGACGTCAAACGTGGTGCCGCATAGACGCTTTGCAACGCGTGATATCCCTCTTTTAAAACTAGTGTTGTTGTCCTGGAGAATAAACATGTATCAACTTTGTGTAGACCCACTCGGCCGTATCCCGCGGCGCGAAGCTGTAGGCAGCGGGTCGACGACCACTGACCGGCACGTCATGACGTGGAAGGTCCCGAACGGCGTGTCAACTGAACAAACGAGTGCAACGACAGTATCTATTGAGGGGACACGTATCGACTATCGACTGCCTACGCGGCTTTGCCGACTGACTCGCTCTCGTCTTCTCACTCTTTGCCTTCCTATCTGTCGACAAAGCAGCGGTGGGTCGTATAGCAGACAGAGAGAGAGAGAAAGAGAGAGAGAAAGAGAGAGAGAGAGAGAGAGAGAAAGAAAGAGAGAGAGCGACGCAGCTCTCTCGACCACACGGGTCCTCTCGACATGGCGTTAAATATTAGGTGCGCGTAGGTAGACTGGCCTTCCATCGGCGCCTCCTCGCGCTACGCTGTCACGTGAGCCTCTTGCGTTGCGTCTCTTAGAGCACAACAATGTCGCAGTGCTTGCGGGTGCTGTGTCGCCGGAAGTTGCCATAGTGCGAGTGGGTGGACGTGAGCAGCGTCTTCAGGACGCCAGACGCGGCCTTTGAGTACGACAGAATCGGAGGGCTGTCCTTGTTCATCTTTGCGCCGCTGAGCGTCCTCTTGTCGGCGGCCGAGGCCGTGAAACTCGCGGCTTTGGGCATTTTGGGGCTGTTGCTGCCGTAGTAGACCGTCGTGGACGACCGCCGGTGCCGCGGCATTGTCATGCACCGAACGCGCTGAATCGTGTGGCGAATCACGGGCGACAGCTTCTCCCCCATCTCGTGCTCGAGGATCGCCGTAATGGACGCGCACTGCGAGTGGAGCAACGTGAGCTCTTTGGCCACCGTCTCGAGCTCGAGCTCCAGTGTCTCGACCGTCTCGCCGCCGCTCGACTCGAGCTCCTGACACTCGCTTCGGAGCTTCGCGGCCTCCAGCTCGAGCGCCGAGTTGAGGCTGCGTAACTCGTGGACCTCACGCTGCAAGCGCTCGTTCTGGGCACGGAAGTCCGCGGCCGATGTCATGCTGCCAAGTCACGCGCGGGATAGAACGGGAATGACAGCTACGGCGCGACTGCTGCAAAAGGCGTGGGGGGGGAGGGGAGGGGACGGACGGACGGAGGAGCACACATGACGAAACGACGGAAAGGAGGGCCAGCGGCTGGGCACTTGTTTGGTGGCGCTCGAGCGCGAGCGCTCGCGTGCGGACAAACTCGGACGAGACGGCGTGTGAGAAACAGAAGGCGGTCATAACCAAAGCCCAGCGCCATGTCCACTGCGCTGCAGCACTTGAGTGCAGCCATGGATCCATATGGGCCATGTCAAGCTGTCGCCCAGGAACGGGACACTGGCAAACACACTCGGGGGAGAAGGACCCACACGAGTGCACTGGCGACTGCCTACTGCGGCTCAGCAATTCTGCGACGGTGATGTCGGAACGGCTCTACGTGTGGCTCTGTTGGCTATGAATGGGCCTCGAGCAGCCAAAGAGGATCGCGTCGACGTGACGTGCTGTCAACGCTGCATCAACTGTTTGCAGTGGCGGATCATTATCGTCAACAACAACGTCGTTGTGCTCATCTTACGAGGCGAGCAAAGGGATAAACACAGAGAAGAGAGGAGAGAGAGAGAGAGAGAGAGAGAGAGAGAGCACCGAACGCGCTGTACAGGTCGCTCGGCTTCGAGTCGCTGGTGCTTCAGAAGCAGAGCAAATCGCTCGTAGCGGAGCATTCTCCAGCTGTGAAACGACTGTCAACAGAGTGCATCGACGACAACTTGTACCATGAGCTGGTGTTAATGAACGCTCACAGCGACTCTCACTGCGGGCGGTGTCAACGTGTGGTGTACGCGCTTCGGTGACGTACCCCTATCGGCCATCAGAGATCTCGAGAAGCTTCTCTCGATGCTTCTCACCCCTCGCACACATTACCCGCTTCGATCGCGTCTGGTCAACATCAACACATTGCAATAGCGGCAACTCGGCTGCGCCGTACCGCACGTGACTAATGGCATTGTTCAAGAACAGGTGTACCGCAAACTCATTTCTGGCACCTACGCGATCGCCAATGGCGGCGCCACTTTTGACACTATTGCAGACGTACAAAGGCGTAAAGACGTCACTGCAACTGCCGCAGAGAAAGAGAAACAGCAGTAACAGCACCAGCAGCAGCAGTTCGAAACCACAGCCACAAATCGCTCGATCATTCCTTGCGCTACAAAGCGGCCCCACGACTTACTACTACGGCAACAGTGCTACTACGACAACAGCGACAGTGCTACTACGACAACAGCAACATTATTATTATTACTACTTCTACTACTACGACAACTACTACTTCTACTTCTACCACTACTACTACTACTTCTACTACTACTACTATTCACTCGTCGAGCTCGAAACGATCGCGTGCGTTCTTTTCGTTGCCCCTAATAAGGGGTGCGCTCCTCCGTCGCTCTTCCCTCTCCAAACCGATTCAGATCGACCGGCGCGAGCAGAGCGAGGCATGGAACACGAAGGCGACAGTCGCGTGCACTTCTCCGAGGTGAGCGAGCCGTGGTCGAGCTCCCGCCACGTAGCGGTGCTGCAGGCGCTGAATGCAGTCGAAAAGGTGCGGTGGCTCGTGCGCGTGGCTCGTGCGCGTGGCTGTGACCTATTGCAGCTGCTGACGTATTGCGGTTGTGCTTTGTGTGTGTGTGCGGTTGACGTGTGTCTGCGTCTGTGTGTGCTGCTATAGAAACTGGTGACGGCGCTGCGCACGGCGGCGACTGCCGTGTCGCTCCTGGCACCGCGAGTGTCGTCGGACGGCCACTCTTCGCTGGCGTTCAACGCCTCGTGCACCGAGTTCTTGCAGCTGGTCCAAGAGATCCACGCCGAATTGGCGACGCATATCCATCTGGTGTCGGACTACCGCACGTTTGCACGCAGCACGTACGGCGCGGAGAAGGACGTGGAGATATGCCGTGCAAAGATCAAGGTTGTCTCCGAGCAGCTGCAGACGCTCTCGGGCTTCCTCGAAGACCACTATACGCCCGAAGAGAGCTAGCGCGAGGTAGGCGTGTTGTGCTTGCGTTTACATAGAGAGCTGCTCGACGTGGGTTTGGTGTCTTGGCAGCTTCCTGGCGTCGAGATTTGCCTTGTCTGTTTGCTGCGCAGTGCGTCCCTCGTGCTGTTGCGGGTGGCGGCAGTGGAGACGTGGAAAACTCGTGCGAAGTGCGGTGGTAGCAGCTGGATGGACAGAAGCTGAGCGTAGTGCGCTATTCGAGTTCTCCCCGACGTTCTCACCTGCTTCTTGCACCTGTAGCTTTCGCTATGTACCGATCACGTGCTCTGGATGGATCGAGAACAGAGGCAGCGACAAGTTGTTATCTTGCAAAAAATGAAGTTCGGGAACGTACTCGAAATTGCACTGATGCCCGCAAGTCGATTGTTCATGCAAACGAGCGGTAGCCGTGCAGCACAAGAAACGTTGAAACACCCATCGTCGTGTTTGTCGTCATAGCAGTCGCTTGTTTACGTTGTCGCCTTGGCTGTTCGATCGAGAATCACCGCACGTGCTCCATCACTTCGGGTCGATTTCATTTCCGAGGCAAGTACACGCCACCTGCTCGCGACACCCACGCCTCGGGTTCTGGTCGATAGAACGGATCAGGCTCTCGCGGCGGACTCGGACTGCGATCGTCAAAGGCATTGTGAGTCCACTTTCGCTCAACCGAGGCCGACGAGCGCCGTCGACTGGACCGGGTCGTCGACCGGCTTCTGCGATGATGTCGTCCTCGTCCTCGTCCTTCTCCTCTACTTCTGCTACGACTCGGGGACACATCGCGACGACGAGATCGTCTACTGTGAGACTTTGTTTCATCGCGGCTTCGACGTTGCGAACGGCTTCTACTTCGACTTTGGTTCCTCCGCTTCAGCGAGTTGTCTCGACACGCGTCCAGCTGCCACGCATCCCAAGAGAGTAAGTCGCTGTTCTCTAGTAGCTACGAGAGATGTCCATTTGACTCAAGCAGCAAGTCAATCGTCAATCCACGGTACCTCTGGACGAAACGGGTCGGGCGGCGGTGGTGTGCTACCACGACGACGTCGACGACTCGAGGACCTCGACCTGTCCACGCTGCTTCGATCTCGTCCGCTTTTTCTGCCTCTCTTGTCGGAACGCTTGCGCTTGTGCTTACGTTCCTTGTCACGCTTGCACTTTTCCACAACGACCTGAACGTCACGACCAAACTCGTCCTTCTGCACTACAATTGTCGGCAGTGACCGCTGGTCCTCGACCGTCGACACTGTCTCATTTGCAACTGGTTGCGCTCCCTTTGAGGCCACGACGTTTCGCAACAAGTCCTCCGACGTCCCCCGAGTCCCGCATGCCACGCCAGACGGTGCAGCAGACGCAACCGACGGAATGATTTCGCCCCTGCACTTGACACCCAACCGACAAACAAACAGACAGACAGACAGACGGACAAAGCAATACACACACACACACACACAGAGAGAGAGAGAGAGAGACACACACACATATAGTCACAACGAAAGATGCACAGACAGACACCAGTCGAGCAGACGTGAGTTGCTGACGTGATACGCTTCCGACTCGGCTGACGCACGCGACGTGAGAGGCAAAAGCGCAGAAGCGGACCGTACCGCCAGTTGCGCAGCCCCGCGGCCCTCGACATGCTCGCAGGGATCGAATTTGCGCCAATGAGACGACAGCGCACTTAGTCGGAGCCCCAAACCGCATCTACCGGCGCATTTGTCCGCCTGCCCCCCTCTTCCGCCCGCCGGACGCAGCCACTCGCTCCCTCCACACCGCTACCGCTACCGCTACCGACACGACACGACACTGAGCCCCACCCGCAGTCATGAGCAGTCCCCGCGACGTCGACGCCGCGTTCGTCACGAAGACGACGGCCAAACACCGCAAGAAACCGCCGGCAGCAGCAGCCGCCGCCGCCGCTGGCCAAGACGACCAGCGCCACGTCGTCGCAACGGCTGCTGCGACTGCGACAGCCACTGCGCGCGCGAGTCGCACAAGTGACGTGGCGACTGCAGCTGCCGCCTCACCCCACCGCACGATGCCGCCGCCGTCTGTGTCGACGACGCTGAGCGCCAGTCACGACAACGCGAGCATTTCGCTGCGGCCCCGCACGATGTTTGCGATGAAGGGCCGCGGCCGCACCGAGTCCGAAGGCGCCGCGTACCGCCCACAGTGGTCGAAAGACGGCGAAGGGTTTGTATCGTCCTCGACCGCGTCCACAGCTGCTGTAGCAGCTGCTGCAGGTACAGCGCTGTCCACGTCGGGCACTGGACCGCTGTCGATGAAAGACGCAGTTGTTGGCGGCAGCGACGACCACCGGACCGATCGGCGCAAGACCAAAGTCGTGCGCTACAGCAAAGAAGAGCTCCTGGCGCTCCATTCGCCGACGAATGAGCTGCCGGCGTTTCTCGTCGAGACGTCCGTGGCGTCCGAGCACAGTCTCCCGCCCGTGGGGACGCTGCCGTTTGACTACGAAGAGATTTACAAACAGTGGTCGCTCAACCGCAATCGCGGACGTGGGCGCGGCCGCAGCAATGCAGCGTCGGGCGCTGCGCAAGGGACGCGCGGCCACCACGAACGCGGGGCACGGGGAGACGAGACGCTCGATGGGGCGATGCACCTGAAGGACGAGGGACTGGGCCGACCAGGACACAAAGAGCGAGACTCGATGTGGGAGCGAGGTGCAAAGATCACGGAAGGATCGTCTCGTGGCGACGGTATATGGGACGATGTCTTGGAGCCTGGCACGGACAGCAATGAGATGGTGCGTGCTTGGCGCGTTGAGGGCGTCCGTGTGCTGGTGCTGACTGTTGCTGCGGTCGTTCTTGTGTCGTGGTTTTGCTGTCGACTGTAGGACTTGTCAAGTATGGCAGAAGCCGCGGAACTGTTTCGACGAGAGATGGACGCGATGCGAGACGAGCTGCAGGGGCCGAGGGTCGACCCAGTACGTCCTGCAGCACTGTAGAAAGGGACGTGCGTGCCGTGAAAAACTGATGTCGTGCTATGCGTTCTACAGAATGAGATTAAAGACGATTTGGACGCCTTTGATAAGAAACTGGAGGATGCGGCGGCGGCGGGGCAGTTTGACGACAGTGACAATGAAGAAGCTTCGTGGGGTGATCCTGCACCAGGGGATCAGCACGCTGCTGATAGTGGCAACAATCTGTCGGATGTACACGCGGCAAACTCGTCCGAGCAGCAACCAAGCGACAGCCATTTATTCGATGCGCTGGAACCTGCTGACGCGCCGCTTGTGCTCGAAGAGAAAGGTAGCTCTATGTTCTCACAAGCGTCTGCAGAGGCAAGCTCTGCCGGGCTGCCTTCGTCAGGCACCGGGACGGCCGACGAATGGTTTTACCTGGATCCGCAAGGGTTGCAGCGTGGACCGTTCAAAACTGCCGAGATGCGTGAGTGGTTTGAAGCAGGCTACTTCAAGCCGCACCTCCCGATTCGTTTCGGCCAGCACGGCATCTTTACGGCCTTGGCAAACCAGTTTGTGCCCGGGCAACTTCCATTTGCGACTCTGCCGACCCGCATGAGTAGTGTCGGAGGCATTCATCTGGACCCCATCCAGAGCGAGCAACAGCGTTTGCTGGAACTGCAACATGAGCAGCAGCGACAGCAACAAATGCTGCAGCTTCAGCAACAGCAGCAGCAACAGCGCATGCTGCAGGTGGATCGAGAGGAGAAGATACGTATGGAGATGCAACGGCTTGAAATTGCGCGTCAGCAGCAGCAGACACAGTTGTATCAGCAGCAACAGATTCTGCACGATCAGCAAGAAAAGCAGCGGCAACAGCAGCAGCACCAGCAGCAACAACAACAACAGTTTTTCTTGCAGCAGCAGCAAAATTCGTGGCAACTGAGCCAACGTGAAGGTATAATGAGTGCGCTGGGTATATTCGGCGGAAACCAAGACAATGTTGCACCGACCGACAGCTTCAGGACTGACGGCATGCAGAGTCAGTTTCGGTCTGACTACCATACACATCACCAGCTGAACATGTCGAATGTCCAACCCGTCGCTCAGAACGCGGCTTTTGTGAGCGATGAAGCACAGAGACGCACACAAGCGTTTTGGCCGAGCGCTGCTCCGGAGACACCTGGTCTGGAGAATGTCACGAGTTTGGGCATGCAATCAGTACAACCTGTAAGTCCAGCAGCAGCACACTCGGCTCAGCTTCCTGAGCCAAACAGATCAGCACCCGCCGCCATACCCGATGCATGGGCACGTAGACAAAAGGTACCCGGGTATCCGTCACCAATGCTGCACGATATCCAGGTTGAAGAGGAGCATCGTGCTGCACAGGAGTCTCGCAATAACGACAATCAAGCTACTGCACCACACGGACAGCCCGAAAATGCCTTGTCCGCTGGTAAATCGACGAAAATGAATGTAACGTCTGGCGGAGACAACGCAAGGGTGAGCTCGGGTTCATTTCCAAAGAACGGCAGTCATGCAGAAAACAGTACGACTGAAGCCGACGCGTGGGCTATCGGAACAGCGCCTACTGCAGCTTCGTCAAAGTCGGTGTCGCTGAAAGACATCCAGCAGGAAGAGCAACGCGAGTTGCTTGAAAAGAGGCACAGGGACAAGGGAGACACGGCGCATCTTGCGCAAATGGGGGCTCAGTTAAAGATGATGCTGGGTGTGGACTCAATGGCCGTTCCACCGAGCATTCCTTCAGCGTCTGTGCCACAAGCTACGGTGGCTAAGTCGACAGCACCATCAACGTCAGCGCCGACATCGAGCTCCCCTTCGCCTGCACCGGGTCCATGGGGTCGGTCTCCCGCTGTCGTATCGAGCGACAAGTCGAAGTCGATGCGTGACATTTTGGCCGAAGAAGAGCGGTTGGCACAGGAGCGCGCTAAGGCAAACGTGAATGCGCCGGTGAGCTCGCAGTGGGTGAACATAGTGGCCGGCAACAAGGCTGCTGCTGCAGCGATTCCGAAGCCGTCCCGATCCGTGTTGGGCCCTGTTCCCGCCTCCGTGCTGAAGAGCCGTCAGCAAGTCCGTGCTACCAATGGCGCACTGAAGCCACCTCCGGCCAAGACTGGGAACGATGCGTCGTTTTGGAACTTTGGAGCAGCCACGCAGCCGACTGGCAAAGAGTCTGCAGTCAGCGTAGGTAGCTCGAACGCGTTTGGATCCAACAGCGTCTCGTCGGAGTTCATGGCTTGGGCTTCGAAGCAGTTGAAGACGATTGACGTGGACGCGAATGTGACGTTGCTGGAATACTGTGCGTCAGTAGAAGACCCGGGCGAAGTCCGCGAGTACCTGGCAGCGTATTTGGGCTCGACGCCTCGTGTTTCGGCGTTTGCAACCGAGTTCATCCAGCGGAAAAAGTCACAAAGTAGCGGCAAGAAGTCACCAGGGCACCAAGATGCCCAGCAGCGTGCGTCGGAGATGGACTCGTCTACTAGACGAGGCAAGCGTCGGTCCTGAAAGGCCATACTGTGGATCTGTTGCTGCGGAAGTCCGCCGTGGGCAATAAGGCGCAGTGCGACAGGACGCAGCGACAAGTGAAGCGCGTCGTAGGCACAGATCGACATGAAAGTGGAGAGCATAATAGTGGGAGAAGAAACAAGTTTTCTCGGCATCTCGTGTGTCGGGGATCGTTGCCGTCGCGACAGGCAGTGCACGTCGATAGTATTCAGAGGTTGAACATGCACAATGTGCGATACTGGGAGAGGCGTCGAAATGTTACAGCGGTGGTGGGCAGATTAGTGATGATAATGCTGTTTGTCGTTCGTACGTGTCGCACGGGCTGTACAGTATACTTGGTACGTGGTTGACCAGCTCTTGATTAGGAAAGCCGGATGTACCTCGTAAAATAGACGGGGTCGCATCTGTCATCATCATGTGTAGTACTTCGATTTTTAGAAGCGTTGGTCATAATCACAACGGAACCAATCGAAACGAAGCTGGCGGACAGAGCAAAGTTATCGATCTGGACATTAAAACACACGCGCTCGGGATCTGAACGCATTCATTTTCACGATCTTTTTTGTCAGCAAGAATACCGAGCGGGCGGTATGATTTTGGTGAGGGTCCCCAACGAGCGGTACAGTGTACCGTGCTGCAGCTCCCTGAGGTTTTTCGATCGGCCTGCACCTTGCCAATAAATACGGCGGGCATAGTACCCACCTACCCGTCTGTTCGACAGGAAGAGAGAGAGAGAGAGCAATGGACGAAGAGATGAAGAGCGAAGTGGAGCCGACCGCCGCGCTGGCGACGCAGCCGAGTGAGGAAAAGCGCTTCGAGATCAAAAAGTGGAACGCAGTGGCTCTCTGGTCGTGGGGTACGTGTGTCGTTGTTGCTGCTGCTGTTGCTGCTGCGGGTGTACCCTTTCGGCCGTCGTCGACCGACCGGTCAGGATCGTTGCGATAGGGACTCACTTTTTGTATCTTGTGCTTTTTTTGTTTTTTTCCGCCTGCGACTCAGATATTGTGGTCGACAACTGCGCCATTTGCCGCAATCACATTATGGACCTGTGCATTGAGTGCCAGGCCAATCAGGCGTCGGCTACCAGTGAGGAGTGCACCGTGGCCTGGGGCGTCTGCAGTATGTCGAGCTCTTGTCGTGTATACAAGACGCTATGGGGTCTGTGTGTGCTGAATCTGACTGTACGCGTGTATACACATATCTCTGTGTGTATACGCACTTTTGTGTGTGTGTGTGTGTGTATGGTGGTGACAGATCACGCCTTCCACTTCCACTGCATCTCCCGATGGCTCAAGACTCGCCAGGTGTGTCCACTGGACAACCGCGAGTGGGAGTTCCAGAAGTACGGCAGATAAGCGCGAGCGGCAGTTGATCGAGTGAGCTTCCGCCATGTCAACGTGGCGAGTGAGTGGGTGTCGGCTGCAGTGACATTGTTGACGGGAGAAGGAGAAGCGGTGACGACTCTATTGATGCAGGCACACACGACTTGGTGATGCTCATCCAGTGCCCAGGTCCATGGAGCTGAAGAGGGAGAGAGAGAGAGAGACGGAGACGTGATGGACGTGTTGGAATCAGGCGCCTGCGTCTAGCAGACTGCTTCAGTACGTTTTCATGCTCGCTCTCTTTCTCGTCTAAAGCACTATATATATATATCAACGAACTCGGTGCTCTTTGACACGGACGCATGTTCGCCCGAGGCAAACCGCGCGCATTGTACGATCATTCGACGTCAAAACCACTTACTTCCTGTCTGTGCGAGAGAGAAAAACAATACATAAGCCACCGCATGTGTGTGGAGGTGTGGCTACTACGTCCAGAGCGAGAGCATGCCCATGACGCCGTATCCAGCGAGCAGCGCCGCGCACTTTTCCAGCTGGTACCGCGGATCTTGCAGCTCTTGTGGGATGATCTCCATCATGGCCACAAACAGGAACGTCCCGCCCGCGAGCGCTGCGCAGACGCCGCCTGCAGGCGTCGCTTGCGTCGTGTCCACGAGCAGTCTTCCAAACAGAATGCCCATGGGCGTCATGAGCGAAAAGACGGCGATTGACGACAAGAGCTGCACGCGCGGGACATTGTGGTGCAGGAGCTCGAGCGCCAGCGCGAACGCAGCGAGGGACTTGTGGGCCAAGATGGCCACGAGGATGTCCCACGCAGGTGTGCTCGACGCGCCCATGCCCATGCCCTCCATCACCGAGTGGAACGACAGCGCTACGAACACGACCAGCGCCAGGAGGAAGTTGCCCTTGACGATCCCGTGGATGTGCGCGTGGGGCTCGTCCAAGCGGCCGTCGGCACTGTCGACGCGCGTCACGCGGTGCGCTTTCGCACGAGCGCTCTGCGTGCCATAGTCGCCTCCAGTCTCCAGCACACCGGCCAAACCACTGGAGCAATGCTGTCCATTCATTGCCACGATAGTGTCCCGAACAACAACAGCAGCAGCAGCAGTTCCAGCAGCTTCAGCTTCAGCTTCAGCAGTGCCAGCCACTAGCAGAGCGTTCCGCTCGTCGGCCGTCCCCTCGTCGTGCCGGTCGAGGCCCTTGTTGCAGCGCCGCTGCAGCGTGTGCGCCAGCACCTCGAGCAGCAGCACCATGAGGAAGCCGCAGCCGTAGAAGAAGTTGGCCCACTTGAAGCAGCGCGTCTCGTCGCCGTCGTAGCGCGTGCGCACGGCCAGAAACACCTGCGCCGTGTGCGCGCAGCCCCACTCGGTGAGCGCCGCGTTGGACTGCGCGTCGGGCAGCAGGTGGAGGCACGAACTGGCCAGGAAGATGCCGGCGGCCACCATGTTGAGCACACTGCTCGCGCGTGTGCTGACGCGGTGGCGGCTCAGGAGCGGTGCTGTGCCGCCCACGAGCGCCAGTAGCCAGATCCCGAGCGCGGCCAGCAGCTTGAACTTGTCCAGCGGCTCCATTGTGACGTGGGCACAATGGGATGGCTGGTCTGAATGGGGAGGGGGTGTGTTGTGTATGTATGTATGTATGTATGTGGGTGGGTGGGGGTGTTGTGTTGTTATATTGTATTGTCTCGCGTTGTATTGTATGGGGTCGGAGGTGTTGTGGTTGTTATTGTGGTTGTATTGTAGTGGGTGGCAAGAGGGCACTTTGGCGCGGACGGGGAAATCGCGGACTGAGGGAGTGACTACGGTGCTGCGAGCGGGTCAAACGCGGGGCGACGGCTGCGCTTCACATCGCAGTTGTTTTCCGACTTGTCCGACGGCGGCCGCGGAAAGTCGAGGGGCCGCACGTTATGGGTGCTCGGGTGGACCCAGATCGAGTCTGGCGGGGTACCGTATTACCAAAAGGTAGCGTGCGAGCGGTGATCGGCTGCTAAGTACGCACGGAGAACGCGTTTAAACGCTTGTATGCGTTTCGACAATCGACGGCTGCAGCGGCGCTCGTGGATAGGTCATCCAGCCATGACCGATCGTGGAATGGACCGCGACGACACTCGATGTGCTTTCCCTCAAGAAACACTCACACGGTCGACATTCGCGTGACATTACGCGGGCACCACATGTTTGTTGGAAGTTTGGTGGTTGGAACAGTCGCAGCTTGACGGAGTATCGCGCTCTGCACTTGGTGTAAGAAATGACGGAGCAGTACAGAGATGGCGCAGTTGACGATGCGGTGCGGTCTGCGGTGGCGGGACGCCGTAACATGATGGCCAGCGCAGACGCCAACATGTTCCGACTAGTGATCTCCGACGGATTGGCGTTAAATGCACCGCGAGAAAGGAATGAGAGAGAGAGAGAGAGAGAGAGAGAGAGAGAGAGAGAGAGAGAGAGGCGACACACACACACACACACAAACTCGCGCGTTCTTGCAAGACATACAGTCTGTGCTTTTTTCAGCTACTTGCCACAACACGCAATTACAATCTCTCTCTCTCTCTCTCTCTCTCTGTACTTCTTCATCGGTTGTCAAGAAGTTCCTCCAGCCACTGTGTCGACTCTGCGTTATTGCGTTAAAACCGGTTTCCAACCGACCCATCCGAGCGACTCAACTGTCCGATCCATTGCGCTGCGTCCGCGCCCTCTGACTAATCATACACGACACCGCCCAGCCTCTATCCGTACTTACGCGAACCCCACACGACCTTCGGGTCTCCTCCAAACGGTCATATCCGCCCCCTCGAATAGAGCGCCCTCTTCGTACCCCCCACGACCATATCCCCCACCGCCCATCACACGGTCGGGCGACCCCACGCGCTGTATGGAGACGGCGAATCTCGAGCTCCGACCGCTCGGACGCGACACAAAGAGCCTCAAGCACAAGCACAAGAGCACGAACAAGGGCGCGCCGCATCGTGAGCAGCTCCAGGAGACCTGTGGCGGCCGCCCGAGCGACGCCAGCCACAGCGCAGAGCCCAAGCGGTCGTCGAGTGCGGCGTCTTCGGGGCGCTGCTGCGCGCCCACGAACAAGCGCACTGCAGCGGCTGTGCATCGAGACGACACAGTGTGCGAGCTGCTGGCGGGAAAGATTGCTGAGCTTGAAGTCGGAGGGGACGAGACGCTGGACGATCTCTCGGGTCGGTCGCAGTAGCCGTTTCCTCCCTGCGCTGCGTCGGTTGCAGCAGTTGTTGTGTGAGCGCTGTGACTGATGCCGTCCGCTGTTGCTGTTGTTTCGATGTGTATTTTTGTTGTGCTGTTTGTGCTGTTTTGGATAGGGCTGAGGTACATGGAGGAGTCGCTGTCGATGGAGATGAAAAACAAGGCAGCGAGTGTGAGCACGAGGGAAGAGATGGCGGCTGAGGAAAAGATTGAGGCGCTAGTGGACAGTCTGCATACAGCGGTATAGACTGTGTTTACTGTGTGGGTTTGTGTGTGTGTGTGTGTGTGTGTGTGGTGAAGTGGCTGGCGGGGCTGTCCTGTGCGTCGAGTGTTGACGGTTTGGGCTGTGCGGTTGTGTTTTTCTCGTAGAGTGAACGAGTGGCACTGATGCAGAAGAAGGTGAGCGAGTTGAATGCCAAGTGCATTCTGCTGAAGCAACGCAAAGGCACAGGTGCGTTCGTCTCGTGGGGTGCTTGTGCTTGTGGATACGTTGTTTGCTGATAAGTAGGGATCTGATGCAGTGAGCTCGGAGCTGGTGAAGTCGAACGCGTCAAGAACGAAGCTGGAACAGCTCTGTCGCGAGTTGCAAAAGCAGAATAAGCTTATCGTGGTCCGTGGGCTGTTGATGTAACGAGTTGTACGTGTAGCGGTTCTGACCTGCCCGCGGCCTGCGTTGTACGTATATGCAGAGCGAAAGCCGTCGCATTGCTGACGAGGAAGATCAAAAGAGGTACGTACGCACCTTTGCGCGAGTAAATGGCCATGACGTGTTAGACACGTGTGTACTTGACGAGCGTGTCGTTCTGCGTAGACGCGACTTGTCAGCCCGATTTCAGAAAACGATCGAAGAAGTGAGCACCAAGATGGATAAGCAGAGCCAAGACTACGTGGCGTCATTAAAAGAGAACGAAACGTATGTATGTGCGTTGATCAGTTGTGCTGTCGACTGACGCGCACGCGAAAGTAGACGCAAGAACTCACGCTAGTATGTCGTCCTTGTAGTCTTCATCAGAAGCTAAAGACGTTTCTTGAGCAATACACGGCGCGCGAAGAGTACTTTCAGCGGCAGCTCGAAGCGAAGGATTTGGCTGTCCAGCTCGCCGAAACGAAACTGCGACATCAGGTCGAGCTGACGTCGCGCGAAGCAGAGAAGGTGAAAGGCACTCTTGACAAGGCAAAGGAGTTTTCTGACCGCGAAGTTCAGCTGCAAGCACAGCTCAACTCGTACTCGGAGAAGTTCGACGTGGTGCAGGAAACACTGGCAAAGAGCAATCAGATGTTTACTGCCTTCCGTGACGAAATGGAACGGATGTCAAAGACCACCAAAGTGCTGGAGAAGGAAAACCTGGCGCTGAAGAAGAAGTGTGCGGAGTATGACAGAGGTGCAATCGCCTCGATCCAAGGACAGGTGGCATCTACCGAGGAGACGCTGAAGCTGCACGAAAAGATCAAGAAGCTCGAGAGTCTCTGTCGCCACCTTCAAGCTGAGCGCAAGAGCGTTCAACAAGACCAGCCCGACCCGACTACTGCAGCTGTTGCACGAGAGTCGGCTTGACGTGGAAGGAAGGACGGTGTCTGCTGCTGATGACGTGCAGCTCACGTTTGGCCTGCCCACTGGTAGCAGATTCGTCCCAGCATCGACTGTTCTTGCGCGTGACGATCTCGCCGTAGACGAAGTCGGTACGAGAGGAGTCACGGCGATTGTTACGGCGTCAGCAGCGACTTCTTTTCGGCAGACACAGTACGTACCTGACAAGACAGTGGCAAACCAGACAGTGGCAAAGTTAAGGTTGTGAAATGTCATCACCTCAGGGTTCGTGCCGAGTTGACCCCATGCATGGCAATAGGGAGGGGGTGCGCTGCTTGTGCTTTTGTGTGAGCCCGTCTCCGTTCTCATGCAGCGACTGCCTCCCGATGTCTGAGTGTCCGCCTTGGACAAGTTGGTGAGCACAGCGGAAGTCCACTGGGACATCGTGTGTCTCTCGAACACTATTCAGTTCCACTTGACTTTATGAGGTTGTGCAGATACACATCGAGCGTAGTATTGAGCACGCGCTTTTCCATTCGGGTTCGTCGTTCGAGGAGATATCGTTCCCCGTCGAAATATCGTTCCCAGAGACGTTCGTTGTTGCCGTTTTTCGGTGACTTCTGAAGACAGTTCTGGTGCTGTTCGGATCAGATCATTTACGCATGAGAGGTGCGTGGTGTCTTTTGTGGTTCGCATACTACGCCGCAAGAAACTTGTGGTGGGCACAGTTGGCACTGACTGGCATGCAATTACGTGGAAGCGACATCACCGCTTTATCAATTTTAATGTTGTTGACGCAGGCAAAGCCGCTGCTGAGCCAAAGCGAAACTAGCGTTCCATACCGTGGCTCATTCAGCATTCATTGCCCGTGATTTCCGTACAAATTTGATTCGCAACACGCCAACCACAAGTTACACAATGCACTTGAATGTGACCACTGACAAGGTTAAGTATGTTGCGGGGTGTTCGGAAGAAGGAAGTGATGGGTGTCGATCAGCGTGTACCCGAACTCATGGCAATGCCATTTTTACCCATTGCCTCCGCTGCTATTTTTTGCCATTCTGCTGCTAGTGTGACCTTTTTATCGGATCCATATCGAGCAGGGGACAACAGCGTCCGTAGCACGATCCTGAGTATGTATGCATTCGCTCGTCAGGCTCAGGTATGACGAAATATCAACAATCACTTCGTTCTGCAGTATGCACATGTACCGTGTTCGATCGCGCACGAGCAACCCGCATAAAAGCGCAGCATGCGGTTTCACAATACATCATTCAGCTTGTACCGTGCAGGTACCGACTACTTGTGAACCAGAACCATCGTACCATATTGCTTGTTTCATCCAATATTCGACATGGGATCTGCTCCAGCGGTATAAGTGACAGACGTGGTGCGCGTGCTGCACATGTATGAATCATCAAGTCGCTGTTGCTTGACAGCGAAAGCAAAACAGGCTGTCGCATCATGATGCTGGATCAGAGACATTCCAAGTGAAGCGTAGATGAAGACATGCCAGCGTGGCACACCATAGCAGAACGCGCGCTTGAATTTGTAGACATCACACTCCTTCGCCAGCACATCAGCAACAGGTGTATCCCAATGCAGTGAGAGAAGCATCGGGTCGACGTCTTTGTCAAGGCGCACACGCACTGCTGCCTTTCCACTCACGATGACACGCTCTTGGCATACTCGAGCGCGAGTCTTTTCGAGTGGGTCACGCAGTCAGCCAGCCCAATGCCGTAGAAGCTGTTACCACCCAGGTATAGACCTGGCGCAGATCGAGCAGCCTGCTTTTCAATACGCTGCAGCTTCTGGCCAAAGCCAACGTTGTACTGCGGTATCCCATTCGTCAGTACCATAGCACGCACGTAGTCGGGCTTGCGCGTGATACCTAGGTGCCGCTTCAGTGCGTCCAGGGCGTTGCGCTCCAATTCTCCTTCAGGCAGCGACGCCACATCGTGAAAACGTGCGCCGCCGCTCATGACGCTCAATCGCGTCTGCGTTTTCCCTGCACCGTTCTGCATGGGAAACGTGTTGGAGTCAAACACGACGCCAAGCACCTTCTCGCGCTCGACGCTCGGGATGAGGTACCCAAAGCCGTCCGTACGGAGCACCTTTTCGTTGTATCCAACATGCACCGTACCCATATCAACAAACTTGATCTCGCCCAGTGCCTCAGCCAAGCCAGGTGCCAAATCCTTCACCACTGGGGCCAGGTAACATGAAGGCAGAGTAGAGAACACGTGAGTGGCCTTGATAGGCTCCCGGGTCTCACCAGATGTAGGATCTTTGCTCTCCACCACAAAGCTCGGTCCTGCGCTGTTGTGACCATGGGCGGCTAGTCGCGTCACCCTCGTATTCAGTTGAAGGGTTGCCATTGGATCGGCACGGATCCTGTCTTCGAGCGCTTCCATGAGTGTGCTCATGCCATGGGTGAAGCTCACACTCACCGACTTCTCGTGTTTCTTGACAAACGCAGACTTCTTCGAGCCATCGAGCAGTGTGTCGCTTTGCCCGTATCTACCAAATAGCATGCCCTTCACCACCGATCCATGTTCTCGCTCCAAGTCGGTCAACATGGGAAAACACGCGTGTATGGAGAGTTTCCTGATATCGCCACCGAAAATCCCCGACGCCATGGGGTCAAGCAGCCGCTCCGCCACCAATGGACTGAACCGCCTCGTCATAAAGTCGTATATCGACTCGTCGTCCATCGTACCGGGCGTTACAAACAGCTCACGCAGAGCGGCGCGAGCCACGGGAAGCGACAGCGGCCACCGCAGCGCGTCGAGCACCGAGTTCGGCAGCTTCTCGACGGTCCCATTGCGCAGAATGTACCGCGCTTGTGCTGCTGGGTCCACTGCCTGCATCTGCTCTTGTAGCTGCAGGTCTTCGACCAATCGCAACATCTCTGCGCCGTTACGGGACGGCCGAAAGCCTCGGGGGCCTTCTTCAAAGAGGAATCCCTTCTGTGTGGCCGTTTGTACCCATCCGCCCGAGACCGCACTGGCTTCGAGTACGTGGATCCGTGTCGCGCTCGTGGCTGCTGTCTTGGACAGCGCTTGGCGCAGGAAGTAGGCGAGCGTGAGGCCAGAGATGCCGCCGCCGAGCACGACCACGTCGCGAGGTGGCATGGCGAGGAGGTCCGCTGGTTGGGCTGCGTTCTGGTTGGTCGAAATGGGGTCGGGCGAGACAGTAGTAGTAGTATTGCTGTCCAGAGGGACAGCTGGTCTACATGTGGTAAACAGCTCGAGCTCGACCAATGGCAGGCAGGCAGGCAGGCAGCACGGACGAGACGAACGCGATAGGGCCTGTGAACAACATTCGGATGCGCGCTATTTATATCCGACTTTAAAATAGAGCGTCGTATCCGCGCAGGGCACGCTGTTCTTGTGCAGGAAACAGCAGGCAGTTGTAGTGCACTATGCCGCTGCTTTCATGATCATTCTTGGCGTCCCGTGAACGGATCGTTCGGAGATATGCATTTCGTTTGGTGGACTTACCTGTCTCTTTCTTTCTTTCTTTCTTCCTTCCTTTTCTACTACGAGGTTACCATGAGCCGAAGGTCGACTCAGATCGTCGGCGTGTTGCCGTCAAATGGACACTAGTGAGGTGAATAGGAGATATCAATCAGCCGTGTGCCACAACGGCCGTCGTCTACATCGGCTAAGCGTTGGAAGCCTTTCTTTCGTGCTCGAAACGATTAGTGGAAGTATCTTGCAGCGGCACTTAAACGCTGGTACCATACCGTGGCCATGTGCCTTGCGAGCGATCGACGAATGCGCTCATTGTGTAGATGCATGCGACGACACATCCTCATGTAGCAACTCGCGACACCACATCGCTTCGATGGATGGCACATACATGCGGAAGCAAGTAAGCTCGGTTCACATGCACATACGCCCGATATCAAGTACTCGTAGCACGTACATTCATACAGTCGTCTTGGGCGTGCACATGTTCGGAATGATGACAAATGCGCTCTCGCGATCATCTCAAGCAGGCAGACGCAAAGTATATTTGTACTTCACAAAGCTGCCATTACTGCTAACACGCGCACATGCGCTTGTCAATGTCAATTGACTTTGCTCCTTTTATTTCGACAACGACACACGACTCACGACTGCAGCATCAGACGCCATCTGATGCTTCATGCGCGAGCCATGCCTCAATGCGCTCTATCGATCCATTGCCGTATCTTTCGTTATGCACATGTCCAGTATCCCGATCGCCGCATGTTGAAGTGACATCTACTCCTACTGCAACTCCGACTCCGGCACCGACTCAGACAACAACAACAACAACAACAACAACAACAACAACAACAACTCCTACTACTACTACTACAACTCCTCCTCCTACTACTACTACTACTACAACTCCTCCTCCTACTACTACTACTACTACCACTACTACCACTACTACTACGACCACTACTGCGACTACCACAACTGCGACTACGACTGCGACTACGACTACTACTACTACTACGGTCACTGCTACTATCACCACTACATCTCCCAATCCGCAGGTCCGACTTTTGGCACCCGCTCTCTCCTGTCTTTCTTCATATCCCTCTCGAACTCGCTGCGAATTTCAGCAAGAGAGAGGTCTACATCTTTTCGCCTAACAGCGACGAGCGGAGCCCGCAGACGCAACCGCTGCAGCAATAGCGCGTGCCCGAGCGCACTACCGCCCGAGCGACATCTCCGACTGCCTCTGCGGCTTTTCGCGGATCGTCTTGGGCCATCTTTAGCCACGTCTGCGATCTGATGGACGACGCATCGTTCGAGGAGCTCTCGCCCAAGACGCTCATGGAGAGGTCCCGTAAGCGCGAGCGCGTGGAGAGCGCCACGTACGACCAACAGGCGCAGAGCATTCACGACAGCAGTGACGATAAACACGGAGACAGGAAGCTTCGGCTCCACAGCTTGTTTTGTGCCAACACAGTGTGGGACAAGACCGCTCCTGTTGGAGCAGATCGAGCAGACCGGACGCTGTGTTCCTCGGCATTTGTGGTGCAACAGAAGGCTTTGCGTCGACCACGGTCGGCGCCGAATCTCACGGAACAGGTACAGAAAACGCAGGAGAGCGAGGGGACGTGGCAGAGGCTGAAGATGACGGGACTGTTGACGCTTGTTTGGTACTGCTGGTGCTGCTTTGTTTTCCTTTTGTTCTTCTTAGGCTGACAACCAAATGATCGCGCGTATCTTTCCAGACATATGTCCACGAGAGCTGCGTATCGCAGAGGTGAAGCTGTGGAAGTGTCCGTGGATGAGTAAAGACTGTTCGATATCGGAGAAGCTCGAGACAGCTCGAGAGATGTCGGAACAGCAACAAAAACAAGCAATGGATACGGAAAACGAAACGTCGACTGGCGTGGCAACGCAGTCATCGACTCATGCAGAGTCTAGCGTTCCAGATACCGTACCGACGACAAGTATGGCGGATACATGTTGCTGCACTGATAATGACGATACGGCCGATCACGTGGATAGTACGGCAAAAACACTGGACAACGAAGTTGACGCAGTAGCGAGTCATTTGTTACTGGAAGAAAAGGAAGAGATACCGCCAGTCATACCAGAAGCAACAGATCTATTGCCATCCGCAGGCGTGCGGCCTCCAGTGCCTACCACGCGTAGTCCTGCGCCGCTGTGGAAAGCTGTCGAATCAGCAAGAGGAAACTCGCATTGTGGCGTCACTAAGCGTCCCCAGCTGCGGCTTAAATTGGAAGACATGCCTACACCTCAACAAGCCGAAGAACGAGCTCAGCGAGCTGCAACTCGACTTATTGCGAAGCGAGATGCAATAGAGGCTGCGGCCATTGCAGCTGAAATTTCGTCGGGATCGACTGACTGTGCAAGTGGCCCCAGTGCCGCACAGCAGGCGATGATGAAACTGAATCTCAGCTCAGAGTCAGAGTCGGGCCTTCAATCACCAGACGGTGAGTTCCGCCACTATGTTATCTTCGGCTTTTGGGCAATTTAGTACTGACTCGTATGTATGTGATGTTGAAATGGGCAGAGAGCGGGCGACATAGCGCAGGCAGTGCTTATTCTCCTAATCACGGCATGTTCACAACCAGAAATGTGGCAGTATCAGAAGCGGGTATTTCATCTCCCGATGCTGCATGCCTGCACTTACAAGAAAACCTTGAGCGCGTAAGAGAGGTTGGTCGGGGCGCATCAGGTGTCGTATACAAGGCAATTCACATTCCAACGCTCAAAGTTGTCGCAGTCAAGGTCCGTGTGTGTGTTTGTTCATGAATCCGGTCAGTATTTTTCACTCACTGTGCAACTGTGCCCCTTGCGTAATGCAGGACGTACCCGTTTACGGGCGTGGTCAGCGCCGGCAAATGGTGCGTGAGCTTCATGCGCTGTATTCAAACCTCGTGCCCATGGCAGACAATGACAGCCCGAAACCTCAACGTTCTTCAACTGGAAAGAGCGCTGGTAAAGCGAAAGCAAAGTACGCAATTGCACACATGTGTTACGTGTGGAATGCACAACTGAACAACTTGTGTTTGTGCTCGTGACAAGCAGGCCCAGTCCGTATATTGTATCCTTCTATGACGCATTTGTCGATCGTCCAAAAAACTCCATTTGTATGGTCATGGAATATATGAGTACGGGATCGCTACAGGATATTGTTTTGCGTGGTGGCTGCCGAAATGAAAAGGTTCTAGCACGGATAGCAGCAGGTGTATTACGCGGCTTATCTCATATCCACAAGAAGCGAATGGTACACCGCGATATCAAGCCACATAACTTGCTCACGAATCGACAGGGCGAGGTCAAGATTTCGGATTTTGGCTTAGCGCGTACTCTGAATGACAATTCTACCTCTACGAAAACGTTCGTGGGCACCCTGCTTTACATGGCTCCTGAACGGATAGGTGGTGGTGATTATTCTTATCCAGGTAAGCCAATTCATGTGCGGTTCTCCCGAGCAACCATCACAGCTGACCCATGCTTCTTTTTCGTAGCTGACGTCTGGTCTTTTGGACTTGCCATGATATCTGTTGCCTTGGGTCGCTACCCGCTGCCAACGCAAGATGGATTCTTCGGTTTGGTCGACTTCGTGAGTGCAGTTGATACGTTCATTGCGTTGCTCTTGGATGTGTTCACTTGACAGCAATGTTTTTATCGTAGGTTGCAAACGAGCAATGTCTCAAGCTGCCGGTCGACTTCTATTCTGACGAATGCCGTTCGTTCGTTGATCAGGTTCTGTGAATGTCCTGAGACTCCATTATATTGTGAGCCACACGTTCCTGACTGCTTGTGTGTGCAGTGCGTGACATTTGACCCAGATGAGCGACCTTCGGCAGACACACTCCTTCAGCATCCTTTCATTCACAAGTACACGGCTGAGGAAACCCTTGCAGAGGTACATTGTTCCTCGACCGATTGCAGTTGCCAAAGCTTCTTAACAAGGTGCTTTGTTGTCGATAGTGGACATTGTTCATTGACCAGGCACACCTCTGCGAAGAACGTGGTAGTGAATTGGAATCCCTGAGTGATGCAGTCTATCGTCACATGTACGAACACTCGGTGAAGTTCGCACACACGCCGCAGGTAAGCACTGTCCGAGTTGCTTGTGTGCCATGATCATGTAACTGGTGCTCTCTGACCACACGTGTGGCTCTTGTACCATGCCCAGTCGGACTACGGGGTATCATTTGTGTCACAAGCAACCCCTATGTTTTTGCGCCGACAAGTAATGCTTCGGCCAGTTCAAGTGAGGTACATACCAAGCGATAGCACAACGCCAGGCGAGAGGAAGACGGAGTTGCTGACGTACAAACTTCTCCTGCGCTTGCTTTCGGACAGCTTACAACTCGGCCTCGCCAACTACTTGGATGTGCCCGTTCATTTGGTCTACGAGAATTTCGAAGAGGTGGGAACTTTTACGCGTCAAGTTGCTTGCCTGACCATATCTGACACGACTTGACTCGTGCAACGCAGAAACGTAGCTACTACAGCGACAAATTGCTGGAAAACTATTGCTACTCTCCGCAAAGCTGGACGGCCTCGCCAGGAATTTCACGGCGCCAGCAATTCGGCATTGGTACTGACAGTCCACAATGCACACCGCGCGAGAAGGGTTCATTTTGGCGAAAGCTGCAGGAGGGCATGTCGAAACTTAGTCACAGCAAACGCAAGAAGGAGCGAGAACGACGACGCTCTTCCGCTGCGTCATAGGTTACATAAATACGCGTGCGATGCCCAACATGCCAAACCGAAATTACGAACAATGTGTGACATGACGTCCCCTGCTTCAGCTGGGACTCGCTTGAGCTGTCGCGTTCGAAAGTCCTACATCTTCAGCATAAAGCTTCGCGATAGCTTGACATGGAACGGCAAAAAGTTCCAGGCCTTTTGCGTGGTAAAAGGCTTGCGAGCGCGTCAGCTCGCTGACAATTTTCTGCAGCAACCAAAGCTCATGTGAGTCCCCATGCTCGTCGACTGGTTCAACTAGCTCCACTACCATCCAACTGCTTTCACCTTCATCTTCTCGATTCTGTACCGTTCGAAGCTCTCCATGTGGATATCCAGCAACGCATTGACGTTCTCGACGCGACGTTTCTGGTCCGACAGCATCCGCAGCTTCCTCTCCTTTTCCTTGGCCGCGCTCCCTCGCTGCAGCTAGTGGTCCAGGAAAAGCAGCAGAAAAAACAAACAAATGAGTCGACAACACGCCCACGCATCGTGCGTTAGTGAAACCTTCCTTGTCGCTTGCTTACGCATACCTTTATCTCTTCGAGCTCTCTCTGCAGCTTCACTTCAATCTTCACCGCCTTTTCCCGGTCTTCCAACAACCTCTACACAGCAACACACAGCACAGCACAACATCACACAGCACAGCACAGCAACACACAGCACAGCAACACACGGCTCAGCCTCAACCCAAGAGACAGTTCCGTCTCTCTCTCTCTCTCTATCTGCCTGTACCTTCATGGGAGTGACCGCCCAGTCGTTCATCTGCGCCACAACCTCCAGAATCTCTGTCTCCGGTCTCGTCATCATCACGTCGTGACTCTCCCGCACCAGCGACTGTCCACACTCGCGCAGCGCTTCGAGACACTTTGCCAAAGGCGCACACGTCTCGTGCGCGGCGACGTCCTCGAGACTTGCAGCAAACGCGACCAGATACGTCTCCTGCTCCTCGTGCGCCTTCATCATCTTGACCACGAGCTCCTCGATCGCCTGTCCAGTGCGCTCCATGAACTCCACTTGCGCCTGTAGCGTCCGTCCGCGCCGCGCCATGGGCAGGCAACGAAACTTCAACGCGAAAGATCTGCCACACTAAGTGTACACCAGTACAACACCTCCCCCGGCTGCGACCGTAAATGATGTGGTTGACGCTATTCTCGCACACGCACTGTCCTCCTTTCGCTCGCTCGCTTTGTCTCTCTGTCTCTCTCTCTCTCTCTCTCTCTCTCTGTGTCTCTCTCTCTCTCTCTGTGTCTCTAGGGCGGCGGTCGCCATGCGGATCATGATCAAGGGCGGCGTGTGGAAAAACACGGAAGATGAGATCCTCAAGGCGGCCGTGATGAAGTACGGCATGAACCAATGGGCGCGCGTCGCGTCTCTGCTGTCGCGCAAGTCGGCCAAGCAGTGCAAAGCGCGGTGGTACGAGTGGCTCGACCCGAGCATCAAGAAGACCGAGTGGAGCCGCGAGGAAGAGGAGAAGCTGCTGCACCTCGCGAAGCTCATGCCCTCGCAGTGGCGCACGATCGCTCCCATCGTGGGTCGCACGGCAGCGCAGTGCATGGAGCACTACGAGCGGCTCCTGGACGCAGCGCAGCAGAAAGACGGCGTTGACGTGAGTGACGATCCGAGACGACTGCGTCCTGGCGAGATTGACCCGAACCCGGAGAACAAACCGGCGCGCCCGGATCCCGTGGACATGGACGAAGACGAGAAGGAGATGCTGTCGGAAGCACGAGCTCGTTTGGCCAACACGAAGGGCAAAAAGGCCAAGCGAAAGGCCCGTGAGAAGCAGCTCGAAGAAGCACGACGACTCGCTGCGTTGCAAAAGAAACGAGAGCTTAAGATGGCGGGTATTTTGTCGTCGAAGCCGAGTGTGCACATGAAGAAACGCAAGTACATTGACTACGCCACCGAGATCCCGTTTGAAAAGAAAGCACCGGCTGGGTTTTATGACGTGTCGGAGGAAAAACGCATTACGAGCAAAGGGCTGGACCCGAAGCGTGCAGCGCTGCAACTGGACAAGCTAGAAGGCGTCCGACGCGATGCCCAAGAGAAGAAGGAGCGCAAACAAGATGCGAAGCGGCAGAAATCGCTTGTGAAGTCCAACCTGCCGCAGATCATTGCTGCAGTCAACGCGAAGAACGATCCGATAAATGCCATCAAGCGCACAGCGTTGGAGCTGCCTGCTCCAGTGGTGTCCAACGACGAATTGAGCGATCTGGCCAAGTTGGGTATGCACGCCTCCCATGCAGCTGCGCTCGCTTTAGAGAACGAATCGGCACTCGAGACGCGTGCTCTCATGGGCGATTATCTAGCCACGCCACTGCTTTCTGGAGCCCGAGGGAATGCGACGGCCACGCCGTCGATTCGTGATGTGCACGACAACATAATGCAGGAAACGGCGAATCTACTAGCCATGCGCAACAGCGCGACTCCTCTTCTCGGTGGCGAGAATGTTGAGCTGTACGAGGGAACGGGTTACGCTGGTGCGACCCCACAGCGGACACCCTCGTCAGCTGTAGCTAGTTCGGCGGGGGACAACACACCTGGGCGAACGTCTCTACGCGACGAGTTGGGCATCAACCCAGTCCAGCTTTATGGCACAGAGGCTGAGAACGCCAGAGTGGAAAAGGCTCGGACCAAGCGATTAACGACCAGCCTTCGTCGAGATTTCGATAGTTTGCCCGCGCCACAAAATGAGTACGAGATCAATATTCCTGAGAAAGAGGAAGTGGATGACGAGCACGTCGCTGGTCTTCGGGAGATGGATGCTGGAGAACAAGAGGCTCGCGCGCAACAGCAGCGCGAGCTAGAACGAGAGCTCGAACTGAAACGGCGGTCCACTGCTGTGCAGAAGGGTCTTCCGCGTCCGTCGAAGGTAAAGAAAGTGCTGATCCATAGCGCAGTGAGGGAAGTTGCGGACGAGATGTACCGCATGCTCGAACACGATCTTGCTGCGTATCCCGTGAATGATAGCAAGTCGAAGAGAAGCAAGAAGCGCAAAAGCACATCCAGTGCTGCTGCTGCCCTCCCGCGTCTACAGCAGTTCTCCGATACTGAGATGGAGCGGGCGCGGCAGATGGTACACATTGAGGCGAGTCTATGTGGCGCGGAGAACGTGTGGAAGTCCGTAGATGCTTCCGTTTTGAGTGCGAAGTGGAGTGAAGCGCAGGCTTGTTTTTTTGCCAAGGCGGAGAGTGAAGGAAAAAGCGACGGTGTGTTTTTTAAGTTTGCTTCATCGGAGAAGGACAAGTTGCGTGCTGTGCAAGCCCGCTTTGCTGAGCTAAAAGAGTCGAAGCAGCTTCTTGCTAAGCGTGCACAAAAGCTCGATGAGCGAGCGCGGGTTGTTAATGGTGGGTTTTACCGGCGCTTGCAACGGGGCCTGGAGGCACTGCACGATCATGTGACGGAGCTTCAGGACGCGACGGTCGAACAGGCATGTTTCGAGAATTTGGCAAGCCTCGAAAGCCAGGCTTTGCAGAGTCGCATGGCACGACTGGCGACCGACTTGAATATGCAGCAGTTGTTTGAAGTCAAGTTACAGAAGCAGTACGCATCACTGCTGCAAGAGCAGCAACAGTGACGCATGAAGGTATGTCGCGCTTACTCGCGCATAAGTCGCGGCTATGGCCAATGGCCGCACACGCCGGTGTGCCACGCTTCATTAACGCTCACTTATATTAAACTGTCTGTAGGAATTACTTTTCGTCATTATCGTCACAAAACAGCACGGCTTTTGCAGATGGAGATACATTCCGGCCAATGCGCAAATTCTCGAGCGAGTATTTGCGATGCATGAGACTTACTAGCGTCTTGAGCTCATGCCATTTTGCTGACATGGTGGACCTGTGTGCGTCAGCCAGCTGGTCCAACTTGTTGAGCATGACTTGCATCTCCTTTGGAGTAAGGATGTTGAGAAATGCCTGCAGTGCTAAATCCATTAATGCCACCTTCTTACACAGTAGATCAAAGGGCGGCGTCTTTTTCGATGCCTTGCCAGTCTTGCGTGTCTCCGCGTACTTGAGTGTCAAGTCTTCGACAATCCCGGCCACAATGTCAACGACGAGACCGCTCTGTATCGGGAACTTCAGAGGTCTCTCGGAAGTTGCCTGCATGGCAGAACGCATCGTAACAACGGCATTAGTAGGATGGGCAACAGGGTAGCGACATAATCATTTGCTCGGCTTACTCCTTGTGCTTTCTTGTCGATTCGGTGTTGCAGCACGTAGATCGCCAATCCAGTGGTAAGCTGCGTACCACGCATCGTGCGTGGAATGCGACGAGCGACGGCAAGCCATCCTGCTGCCGAGTCAAATAAACCCTCCGCTGCTCCAGCGATCCGAAGAACAAGCTGCGGTGCCCATTCTCTCCGCCACTCCGTGCGTGGAAACACGTCGAGCAGCTCTTCGATACAGAGGGTGGCCACATCGACGATGCTGGCATGAATGGCGTCCTCGAATTGCATGCGCAAGAAAAACATGGTAAAGCTGAACGCGTCGTAACCTTCCAACGTTAGCGTTTTCGTGCGCAAACAAAGCACGAGGTACATCAGCACGTAGTGCATGTTGAGAGTCGGAAACGGCACCACGCGTGCTTTCGTCGCAGACGGCGGTGTCACTGGAATCTTGCTCTTTACACTCATGGACCGCTTGCTATCCTGGAAACCGTACGCGCGGAAGGCGTTGAGGAAATCGTAAATGGACGGTTTCCATTCCATTTCGATAGGAGGGGCCTGCGCACCAAACGCTGAGCGATAGTCCTCGATCGAGTGAGAGAAACACGCCACAGGAAGTCCCTGGCTCAACTGTTGGACCAACGAGTTCACAGTTGAGCTCTGGATCAGAAAGAGGTTGCTGAAACATCCTCCCACCACGTGGCTTTCGCTATGAGCTGACACTGCAGACAACAGCGCAGAACCCACACATGCACCGCACAGCAAAGCACACACAACGCGTTATACACAGTGATACAACAACAACAACAACATCAACAACAACAACGAAAACAAACTTCGCATCGACAGAAAAACAGCAACGTACTGGTCATGAATAGCCACGACCCGATCTTCAAAGGCAAGACAATCGGTGTCCTGTCCGAGTCGCTAGGTGCAGTCGCTGTGCGCTGGCACTGGAGCCTGCAGTAAAGCAGGATCGCTTTGGACCACAGCAACCCGCCCAGCTCAACACTGTCCGTCGACTGCATGGCCTCGTACACGAGCTTCATCTCGCTCTGCAGCTCCATCTCTGTCGCCTTATACGTGCGGTACGGCAGCGGCTGCATCATCCACACAAAGCACCACATCACCACATCATCAATCCGTCCGTCCGTCCGTCCGTCTCGCTCACGTGCACGCTCCACAATCCCCAAAGAGCCATACAAAAAACACACACATCAAGCAGTACCTCTCTCATGGGCGTAAACACATAGCCAAACTTCTCCGTAACCGTTACTTCAGACGTCGCAAAGAGGTCACTGTCCCCCGAGAGCGTCGACATGTTGACGGCCATGTGCGTCATCACTTGGCCCAGCGGCGACGAGCCACCAACTGCTGCGGCGCTCTTCTCGCTCTCGTCGCGCATCTGCTTCAGCTTTTGCTCGCGGTGCTCGCGCTTGCGTCGCTCGGCCAAGTCGTCGTGAAGTAACGCGTCGAGACTCGTGAACTGCGACAGAATCGCACTGGGCTTGTGGCGCTTCCCGCGGCGGCGACGCGCGTCGGTCACGAGCTCCTGATCGTCCTCGGACGACGGCGAAGAGAGCGACGACTCGGACACTGCCACGCGGCGGTGCGGTCGAGCGCCTCGCGCGGCGGCGGTCGATCGCCGGGCGCGCGTCATGAAGTAGTCCGTCGCGGATGCGTGCAGCGTTTCGCTTGAGTGCCTCCTGCCCCTCGCTTTAGTGGACGCCGCCGTGGCGATGCGGTGCGACCAAACGACAGGAGGCAGTGTCCCTTGCGTTAGTGACTACTTCGTGGCCCTGACCAGCACTTGTCGCGCGTGGTGTTCGCAACAAGATCGGCCGTGTTCTGCACACCGACTGACGCAAGGGATGTTCGAATTCTGCTCGTGACTGCCGATTGGTGCAAACACAGCACTCGGAGACGCTGTGAGTGGTCGAAAGTCACAGTGGTCCGCCACCCACCGGCTGATTGAAGATCGCAATGCGTCCCAGCAGCCACGTCTGAGCAGCCCGCCCGCCCGCCACGCGAAGCTCTGCGACGACGCAGCCACAGCAAAAGACACCACAACGAGCGCAAGACGTGCGTATCCTTCTTGACACACGCCATCCGCCGCAGCGCAACGCAAAGAGAAACAGCCGCTGCTGTCGCCGTTCCACTCCTCTCTCTCTCTCTAGAGCCTCTTGTCCCACTGCTCAGTCGCCAAGCAATCAGTCTGTGGCGTCCAGCAGTGTGGATCCGCTGGATATTGGCTTCAACAACAGCAGCCACAATTGACAATTGAGCGCGATCTTCGGCTGCAGTGCGACTCGATAGGATTTCTCAGTGGGAACGTCGCAGCGGAGGGAGCACTTTGCATCGGCTACGGCGCGACCAGAGAAGCAAAGCAGCTGCGCGTGTTCGATATCGTGGGAAGGCAGCAAGAAAAGCTTTGTATCGGATTGGATCTTTCTGCTCTTTGTTCGCTCCGTCGTGCATTCTCCGTCGCTCTCTGGTTTGTGGCAAGAGCTTGTTCACATGATGCGAGACATTTTACGAGAAGATATTGGAGGAGACGTCCGAACAGATGCGTTGTCAAGACTCAAGCACAATGGCGGCGGCGGCTTGGAAGTCACAATGGAAGAACCGACGTGCGAAGACGATGTAGAGTGGGGCCAAGTGTTCTCCACGGGGGACAGCGCTCGGGGCTTTGTCGAAGGTTTGTTGTCGTGCATTGCACGGGCTTTCAATTCGTGTGTACATGCGTATAGGCTCATTTATGTGTAGATGGCCGGAACTAATACGCATCCTTGTCACCCGATTTACCGCTCCCTGCCCTTGCTGCCAACTTGTTTGCAGCCGAGGTGATATCCGCTATCGAGTACGACCGGTCAGGAGACTTTTTAGCGACAGGAAACAAAGGCGGACGAGTGTCCATTTATTGTCGCAACGGGAACCCGGCATCGGTGAGCAACGAAACACTCTTGTATTGAACTCGCGGTATCTGATTGTATGCTTTTGGAATGACGTTGACGATCTAGAATCACAACATGTACGGCGGAACGACGGACCCGCAATATCAGCTGTACACTGAGTTCCAGAGCCACAATGCCGAGTTTGACTACCTGAAAAGTCTGGAAATCGAGGAAAAGATCAACCAGATCAAGTGGTGCCAACCGTCCAATGGGTCGCAGCGGTTGCTATCCACCAACGACAAGACCATTAAACTATGGAAAGTGCACGAGCGTAGCGTGTGTGAAATCACGACGTACAATGGACAGGGCCTTGCCTACGTACCACGAGCGCAAATATCCCCGGGGCTTATTCGACTGCCACAGACCCATGTTTGCGGATACGTTACAGCATCTACCGCTAAGCGGGTCTATGCAAATGCACACACGTACCACATCAACTCAATTGCCATCAATAGCGACGGAGAAACGTTCATGTCCGCAGACGATCTTCGCGTGAATCTGTGGAGCCTGGGCATTTCCGATCAAAGTTTCAGTAAGTTTGACATGTCGTTGGTAGTCAATGCGTTCTCAGGGAACATCTTATGATCTCTAACAACTATTTTTGTAAAGATATCGTAGACATCAAGCCGACAAACATGGAGGAACTTACTGAGGTTATTACAGCTGCAGATTTCCACCCGACACAATGCAGCATGATGATGTATAGCACCAGTCGGGGTGCCATCAAGTTGGGGGATATGCGGCAGGCAGCGTTGTGCGACTCGTACTCCCAAGGTTTGTCAGCTTGCTTGTTTCGATTGTTTCGTGTCTGCGCAAAGATGATCACATGTCGCCTTCTTTGTTTCTATGGGACGCAACGGTAGTGTTCGAAGAGCCGGAAGACCCTGAAGCGCGGAGTTTTTTCTCAGAGATTATTGCGTCGATTTCAGACGTCAAATTCTCTCCCGACGGCCGCTATATTATCGCACGTGATTTCCTCACGCTGAAGGTCTGGGACATCAACATGAACTCGCGCCCAGTTCAAACGATCAATGTAAGCATCCATGTGGTTTGCTTCAAAGCTTTGTGTGTAGGTTTGGACTGTATTGCTAATGTTGTCGACGAGCAGATTCACGAGCACCTACGTCCACGGTTGGGCGATCTATACGAGAGCGACTGCATCTTTGATAAGTTCGAGTGCGCGGTCAGCGGGGACGGCAACAACTACATCACGGGCTCGTATAACAGCGAGTTTCATATTTATGACCGCCGTGGACGCGCCAATATCTCGATCACACCGCGCACCGCGCGAGTGAGTCGCCGTCACTCGATGCCCCAGCGAGGCCTTGCGCAGCAGATTGCTGCCTTGCCAGCTCCCGGTGATCCCCACGCACTGGACTTTTCGAAGAAGATCTTGCAGACTAGCTGGCACCCTTCATTGAACGAACTCGCTGTATCTATTCGCAACAGCCTCTTCGTGTATGCTGCCTAGCATCATTGGCGCACAAAGTACCGTGGCAGCCAACATTTATTAACGGTCGGATGCACACCAGCAAAAAGGGGACACAAAGCATCTGAAGTACCGATCTGCCGGTGGTGACTGCGACATCGCAAGGACGACGTGCATGATGCAATAACGACTCGGCCTCTGTTGCAAGCTATATCGAGGGAAATATCACGAACAAGTACATCAAAGAGAAACACGAATCGTTTTTCCACTGTACGATACGAATAGCTTCAAATTGATTTTGATGGCCCAAGGAGCCGAATGGTCAGGAGACGAGGTCAGAAGCACAGTGTCGTGATCCGATCTAGACTCGGCTTGGAAGTCTTGCGTGCACCGCAATGTATCTGACAAAGACTACGTCATTGTGTGTAACATACGAGGTCTAGGATCAAGCGAGGTAGTTCTAGTATTGGAATTGCTTTTGCTTCGTTCAATATAACTTATTTTTGCTACACGAATGATAACATTTGAAATCGACTGACGCTGAAGTTCCCGTTGTTAGTTTGATGCATGTATGTCGTTTCCTACCACAGACAAGCATGACGATGCAAGTACTCGAGTTGGACACCATTTGGTCGCCACATGGACTTTTTTGTACTACGTGTCCCGCTTCACCCTTTCTTTCTTACTGAATACCGACGATTCGCGGTCAATAGTCGACACCAGTCGATATGGTATGAAGGAAGATGTGAGCAAAAGGACGCTGTTGTTGATGCGGGCACCGACAACGACTATCAAGTTCGTCACGATGCCGTAGGAGACACAGAGTAAAACACCCCTTTTGACCACCCGTCGCTCACAACTAGATCATATGGTCTCTCTCCATGTAGATTGCATTGACCTGCCATCCGATTCCGTTGCTCTTTTATAATTTTCAGCCATTGGATCAGTTGCGGGAGCACTGGACCTGTACTGGTCTTGCAGCTGAGGTGTTACCCATACGACTCACTGATCCAGTTTACCACTTCTTGCGCGTAAACTACAAAGACAAAGCACAAGTGCCAGTGCAAGTGTCTAGTTTTGTGCGCCAGTGACGTGAGGCAGGAAATGAAGCAAGAAATGGCAAGGCAGATCGTATGCTCCGGACTATGCGAATACAGACGATGCGACTTGTTTGGTTTTTTGACGACTAGGTGTTAAATGAGTGTAATTCAACACACTGAATGTGCATGAAACCGTTTGCCTATGAATGCAAATACGTGATGCATACCTTGAGTCAAGACACTCACTAATGCGACACCTCGCCTGGAGAAACATGCGTTGTTCAGTTACCCGCGCTCAACTGAAGTGATTCGTAGCAGAGACATTCTACGAGATGCGCACAACGCGGTATATCATTGGACCTAGTGGTTCTCTTCCTATCTCGTAGCCATCAATGCTATAGTTAACACCACGCAACATGTTCGCGACATCGAAACGCGTGCAAAGAGCACCGAGGCTTACCGCAACGTCAATACACCAAGTGACATGATGATACTTGCGAAGGGGGGATATCTGCGAGGGGATTGAGAGACTCTTTATAATAAGGATGCGTTGACCGAAGACTTCGGACAAATAAAGCTGTTGCGGACAAGTGATCGTTTACATTGATCAAACCGATGCAGATTGAAAGAGCTGAAACGCAAGAGTTCATCACGTGGCGGTGAAATATGACCAAGTGACTGATAGCGTGCGCAAGATGCAGACCGTCGAATTGTCGAGAAGCTACGAAGGGCGTAAACGAGTCTGAATGGGATGTGGAGATGCAATCATAAAATAATGAGTTAGAATACAGCTAAGTGCGGAAGATGGTCGTGGCACCGTTTGATGCGCAATGCCGGCCATGCAAGTGGTACGTAGGGCGAATGGTGATGCAGAATATAATTTGGAGCAGTACAATGCTCGTTCGATTGCGTGTGAAAATGAACAAGTGTTTGGTCGCGACTACACTGTCACTTTTGCAGATGTAGTGAAGGCGTCAAGCGTGATCTTACTTTCGTGGATTTGGCGAGGGTCGGGCCTGCCCACGTCATATCTGAAAAGATAAACAAGCACAAAACTTGACAGGATATTGACAAGATATCGAAACTCAGCATCTTACGTGAATGTCGCAACAATCGGGCGTTCCAGGTCTATTTGCTTTGGTCCCGTGGGATGACTCAAGCCTGAATTGATGCCACAACCGGCATCTCGTGAAGAGCCGCATAAGTCGGGACTCATTGCTGTACTCCGTTCCACTTCGTGCTCACTCGAGATCCTAACACTCGATTCCTCCGCTCCTGGTCGAAAATATCACCCAGTAGCGGCTCCATGGCATAAGAAGCGTCGCTCAATGGAGTACGTGATGCTATACTTACAGTCGCACAAGCACCTGTTTCGTGACAACACCAGGGCCACCCATGTACATAATTACTATGACTTACGCGGACAGCAAATGCTGTTACGGGCCGTTCTACTGTCTCCTCGATACAAGGGCCAAAGTAAACTGTAACTTTTGACCACCAAGTCGGAATATAAAAGAAAAAAAACTGCCATATTCGCCGTTTAAAGGGCCATCTGTTGTCATAGCTGTTGTCCTTAAACTCGACTTGCTCTCCTCAAAAAAGAAAAATTGTAAAATATCGGTGGCAATATCATTCCTGTCCGCACTGTGCGCTGGTGTTCGAATGATGGCGACATAGAAGCGTACAGGTAGCGCCATGCATCTTGTTATCGATACATTCCGGTATGAGCTACCCGGGCAATGAGTAGTTGGCAAAAATGAACGAGAATGCCACCACTTTACTCATCAGCCAGAGAAAATGCTCTATACTGTTGCACAACAATTCGCTGACGAAGTGTAGCTATCTTCTCTGTCACAGCGTGTACAGCTCCACATCCTTCGAACTCACTAAGTGGCGACGAAGCCTCAGTAAAATCGTGAAAGTCTTCATTGCCACCATACACCATCAAAACTCCATCGCATCGATGTTGTACGTTATGTTTAGCTCAAACAGCAAAATGTACTCTGCAGAGCCTACTCCGACGATCGAAAACATTACCAGCCTACAGCATGAAGCTCGTCGATAGCAGCAGGAGGCACCCGTGGCTGTGTCATATACGTTACAGCCAGAACTAGCAGCCGCTCCTTCTCGTCAATTTGCTTGCGTATGCCTATCGTGCATCCACTTTATTTGACGAAGTGTACGTGACCTATCACCGTGGACACATCAAGTCGGAGGAAGCTCCCTCTCTCGATCTGGACTTGCACGCCAAGCGAAAGAAAACACCGCTGTTCCCGCAGTGGCCTAGGCACCTAGCTCCAATTGAAACCCTTTCCTGCGGCACCAGCGGATGCACTCGCAATAGCGTCGCGGTAAATGGATCCGTAACATAAGGTCACGATAAAGGCTTTAGAAATTTAATCCTCGCTCAACCTCTTCCGTCGGTCATCTTATCGCAGCATGCATCGTTTAGCCCCTTGTTTTTCACACCACACACACACAAAAAACTCAATAAAAAGGCGCTACTCGGTCTCTGTTATCCTGTATCCACTCCTCCACACGGTCGCTTCAGCCCCTCGCAAAGAATACTCCGCTCCTTGTGCACACCCGACCAGAAGCGCGCACAAATGTGCGCCTGACATATACCTATTGTCAAAACGCAAACGCTCAGGTCCGTAGAATTGGATGCTACGCAGCGGCATCAGGTACTTTGGCGCTTCTCCAGGCGCGGCGCAGCGCGGCCGAAGCCATCGCTCGCGCATGCGCTGCAACGTATCCCGACCGCTGCCTTTGCTGTCTTCTGCTCGCGGTGGAAGCAACGGCGTCTCTGTTGGTTTGCTTCCGTTCCGAGCTCCACGATCAGGCGCCACTGCTGTGCCGCGCTGTCTGCCTCACCCGCTGTTGCCGCACGTTGTGGGTCCTGGCTCTAACTATGGCCTGTTTGCTCGCTCCTGGTCAAGTGGCAGGATGTCGGCGGACGTGGAGAAGCAGACGGAATCGCTCGCCGATGGAGACGTTACGACTGTATCTCCGCCAAAGGTGAGGACTATGGCCAAAAGAGTCGGTGGCGAAGGCACTGAAGTCGGCACATTGGCCGGCGTCAACGGATTCCCTGTGCAGCTTTTTTGCTGTTGTTGATGACGATGAGATGACGTCAATGTCGTTGTTGGTGGTGCTGGTTGATCGTAGAAGGAAGAAGCTGCGTCGCGTGAGTGCGAGCCACTGATTCCGGAAGCCCTTCCGCAACAGCCGTGGCGTCAACGAGTCAAGACGTTTGCCATTGAGTACGGGCGCGTCGGCATCTGCACACATATGGTGCTGTCTATGCTGTCATTGTCCATCATCTACGCGGGAGTCTCGAGTGGGGTAGACGTCAAGGCCATTCTCGATTGGCTGGGCTTCTCCACATCAGCAAGTGACTCGACTGCGAACACGGCTGGAACGTTCATCATTGCCTACACGTTCTACAAGGTGCTCACGCCTGTCCGATGGCCTCTCACGTTTGCTGTTACGCCAGTGGTCTTGCGTGCGTTGAGACGCAGAGGTTACATGCTGGAGTCGAACACTCCACCATCGAGTCCGACACCGCCCCCTCCGTAACGTCGTGAGCAGACTGTCCCGGCCGTAAGACTAAGATGCGGGTATACAAAAAAGGTGTATTGAGATCACTTAGACTGACGCTTGCTGCTTTTCATACAACTGAATGCGTTCACTCGTTGCGCAGCATTCTGTCACGTGCTACTGCAAAAACGCGGGACACTGGGATCGCGAACTGGTCTGCTCAGCTCGTCTGCTGCACGTGTTCCTCGAACACGGGGCGGGCTGCCTTGATATTAAGTTGGATCGTTGCCGGTTCTATTTGACGAAAGAGATGGTGTGTCAGTTGCTGCAAAAACCATTCAGCTCACAAGCAGGCCGTGTAGGCCACACACAACATGAAGAAACGCGTGTACGTACGGATTGAGTCGTCGGACATGATGATCATGATGTACGTGTTCGCGGTAAAAAAGTCAATGAAGGCCGTAAAATTTGAGTTCCGGACCTCCATTCCCTGGAACTGCGCCTGAGTCTTGCTGCAGCTCAGCTTAAACTGCTTGATAATGTTGCTGATCTTCTCGAAGCGGTGGATGTCGCGATGATTGGTATGCGTGGCATGCGAAATCACGAGGAACGTTGCACGTTCGAACAGCACCACTTCGTCAGCACTGCAGATCGAGCAAAAGTTGTTTAGGTGCCTTTCTAGATCCTGCATGTTCGGGATCAGCGAGTACACGATAGACGACCACGCGCGGTACAGGGTTTCATCCCAAATGGATGTGCCAAAGCACACCGTCGGAAGCTGACCGGTCCGTTCCAAGATCACTTGCTTTTTTTGATCAAACACCTGAACGTACGTACCATCCGGCGCACACATGCTCGTTAGTCCACACGCACAGACAACCATCTTACGGTATCCTGCGAACATGGCCACATACCCGCTCCCGCTGGTCTTCTGGCACGAGATCCATCTTGTGGATCAGAACGAACACCTTTGCGTTGCTGGAATTCTGGTCAATGGCTTCCAGACAGCCGTCAAAGTGAGCCATGTCTTTCTGTGCAGAGGCAATAACCAAATGAACGCCAGCACCACCCTGGTCAGCGCACAACAAGCTCGTCACGTGCAAAGCGCTGCTCTCGTACGTCAATTTCGCGGCTTTCAATGTCAAACACGTAGATCAGCAGCTCGACGCTTCGAAAAATGTGGTCGCGTTGGCTCTCAAAGTAGTTTTCGTAAAACGCGTCTTGGCTGCAGCATATGGACAGCAATACAACGGCGACGTTAGCGCGCAAACGAGACTTGTAGCGCGTACAGAAAAAGAAAGCGTAAGTGTTTGCGGTACACGTACCCGCCGCAGTCCCACAAGTTCAGCACCAAATTGCCCAGAAAGCGCACGTGCGAGTGCTCCACGTCCACTATGAGCATATGAAACAAATAGACATCCATCCGATACACATCATCAGCGTCCGATCAAGGGGTGGGTCCTTGACGGCCAACTCCTTGGAGACAGTGTCGCGTACAAGTAGGACCCAGACGCATCGTATCGCGCGCTGTGTGAAACGGGCAACAGAGACACAACAGCATTGCACGAGTCAGCCCCTTCCAGCTGCGTCTTGCCCTACACGAAGGAATCCGATATCGCTGCGATTGGCGCACCCAAATAATTGGCAAAGATGATCGAGCGCATGGACGTCTTGCCCGAGCCAGACTTGCCCATCAATAGCACCTGCACGTCACAGGGTGAGAAGCGCTCTTCAAGAAGCGATCGACCTGTTGCATTGCCGCTGCTGGTACGACGGGCGAGAGGGACTCACTTTCTTCTTCATGGCGGCGACGTGGCGTGCGGGTCGATGGACTGTGCTGCGACTGAGACCAATCGCAAGGGGTCGTCCGTCGTCTGGATGCGAAAAAGACCACGCGGGGACTTACCAAACCTTCCGTCGAGCATAATCGCAGGGCTCAGCGCTGTGTGTATACTGAGTGTGCGGTCGTACGAATGTCGTGGCAAAGCAGCGCAAATCGGCGAGGCGACGACGGTGTATACTGTTACTTTGTTGCATGTACTACGCAGCGCATTCGATTGTGACTACTCAGGTGGGTGGGTACCCGTCAAGGCGGCGTTGCTCCGTTCATTCTTGATCGAATGGAAGCAAGTGATGAACCGTTTGAACGATGATTTGGCCCGGAATCGAGCAGCTAAAGACTAGATCAAAGCACGTCCGGACAACATCGCTACACGATAGAGCTGGCACATGTTGACTTGCTGTTCGTCTAGTGGGTGTGCGCGACTTTGCCCGGTCCGGCCGTTGAACGCTGTACTACGAGATGTTGCGTCCTGGCCGGTCAATGCTGTCTGGTATTACCGTCTCGGTCGCTAGGACGGTCAACTTCGCCTTGTCTATTGCGTCTCTGATGCAAAGCAGATTCGTCAAGGATGTCGTCGCCGATTACAATGTATGGTTGCAAGTGGGGTAGTCCTGTGCATATGGTGGGCGCACTGTTGTCCCAAGTAGTGTCTTTGGCACTGGTATGATGCTTTCTCGACAGTGTCGATCGTCTAAGTGTCGTGGAAAAAGACTTTACGCGCTCAGTGCTGTTCCACAGACATTTTTCTATCACGCCTCTTTTACAATGTGTGTGCTTTTTGCAAACTAAGCTAGTGCTAGTGCTTCCAGATACCGATGCCACAGCTTTTTGTACTCGTTGGACCTCTTTACAGCGCATCATACACTGGCTCATTCGTCGCATCGATTGTCTCGACTCCAGTATTGCCCGCCATCCCGAAACGAATGGATTCAAGCCTCGGTATCTTGCGAAGGGTACAATATTCACACACTATTCTCCAACGACCAAAGGTAAGAAGGCCCTGCTTACAGCACGACTGTTCTGCTATAAAGAGAGCTGGTCGATGATAATGGTGAAGAAAAACGGTGTTTCGCATCAGTTGATCATAGATATAACCGGTAAAGTCTGCTGAGTTGTGCTAGTTGAGTCTGCAGGTGAGGTCATCATAGATTGTTCTACGCATAGGTAACATGTGGCTGCTGCACAGGCCGCAGCATTAAAATGGAGCACTTTTCGACCGGTAAGCCACTGGAAAGGCGTAATGGGGTTACACAACATGTGTGGTTTACACCAGGGACGAAGTCCCATTGAATATGATATTAGAACACCATCGCAGTTGTTGAGGGCTGACGTGTGCCAGCCACCAAAAACACGAGATCTTGTAAGAGGTACATTATAACATTAGTGTCTAGCTGAAGCACGTTCGTCTGTAGGGTTCTTTCGATAAAAGAAGAAATAAAGTTCAGTTCTCATTTTGATCTGTAAAGACAAGTGTCTCCCTGAGGCGTCTTGTGATCGTAGAAGAGTTTATCAACGCCTCGTCAAGGCAGCTACTCCTGAGCACTCTGTATTGTAATTCTTTTGAATCATTGGTTTCCTTGAACAGGGACCGTAAGCTCATCGGGTTTGTTGACTATCGGAGTCGGGTTCTTTAAATCTAAAGTTTCTCGTAGAGCGTTGTAGTCTTCCTCTGAATAAAGTATCGGTGCAGGTCTGCTACAATTGTACTAGTCCACGAATGTACATGCTGCAAGGAAGCTACTCAGATGCTATAAAAATTTCCCGATCAAGGTCATCTCTCACCCAAAGGCCATCATTATAGCGTGATAGCGGTGCTGCAGCACAGCAAGCGTCACGTCTTTTTCCACGCAAAAGTTTAATAGAAGACAAAATCGGTCGTCGACAGCCTTGGTGTAATGGGGCAGCCTGTTGGATATAATTACCATTGTGAGGAATGGTAATAAAGAAAAACAAGTTGAATATTCTTTGAACAATATCACTGAATACAGTGAAATTGTTATAATGATCCAAAGGTCTACTCATTGTTTGATATTGTGTCTATATCAACCGACCAATCGCTGCTAGACGCGCTCAATGGGTGGTGAGTAGACTTCATCATACGTTTAAATAAACCAATATAATTAAGTTAGGTCAAAACAGAGAACACGAGACATTGGACTTAATTGTATAAAACAGCAGTTTTAATATTTCTACAACTAAAGTCTTTGCCTTAGTCATTTGCCCTTCCTCTGTATAGTGCATATACATAGCAGGGCACTGACCGTCACGGTTGTCAGAGAGAATTGACTCCTTACTTGTATTTCAATACGAAGCAAATAACGCCCCGTTACACTCGAGGTCAGACCGCTCACGACGCTCTTCATTTTCAGCTAATTCGGCGCGACATTTTAGTGCATGAAATCGAATGACGTCAGTAGCGCTTCTAAATACACTTATGCGTACGCCTCGACCAGACGATGGGTACGCCCGCGTGCTGCTTCAGCAGGTACTCGGCGACGGATACGCCTGTAGATCCTAGTACCGCCAGCCCATTCACGAGGAAGAGGAGCATCAGTAGAGATTGAATAGATAGGGATGTGCACTTGACGAGCGCTCGTCCGGTGCAGACGACTCAACGAGTGTCGAGCCCAGCGCGCAGCATGTAAGTGATATTGATGTAAGGTGTTTGGCACGCCTCGAGATTAGACACGATAGTGTTTCGGTCCTTCGCTTCAGACTTTGGTAAGACACTGCAATTTTAGTCCAACACAGTGTTTTTTGGTCTGTGCACCATGGATTTGGACTACGTTTTTAATCAGATCCGAGGATTTATGTCCAGACTCCTTAGTATTCGGCTTGGACCTCGTTGTAATTGGCCAGATTACCGACTTCCTTTATTCGACAGCAAATCGTACTTATCTAGCGAAATGGACATGTTGCATTTTTGGTCAATGTAACTTTTGGAAAACGAGATACAGCAGGGTGGGCTTAAATTGCAGCCCTTCGCTCCCACTTTCCCATAAGAGTGGCAGATATAAATCTAGTGTTCTCGTCACACAGTGATAAAGAGTCAGCTTTTCCACAGACCTCATAAACAGGAGCGTTAAAAAGTGCAGACCAAGTAAGTGATAGACGATCCGAACCTTTACGTTACAACTTGTTCGTTTCTTGTGGAAGCGAGTATTGGCACTCGATGTTTATAGGCAGAGGCCGAATCCCTGTCTGGTGCAAGATCTTTAAAGTATAACGGACAATCTTTGTTGGTGCTGTACAAGGTACTGCTGAACCTACACTAATGCAGCGTAGGTAGGTAGTTGTCTGAAGCGTCGCTACATAGTCTCTAAGGCATCTTACATAATTAAACAGACACGCCTAGCTGCACGAAATAGAAACAATTTTGATAGAATAATGCTACCAAATAGATATATTTCTAACCTACATTACATTTATTCAAGACGAAATATGTAGGACGGCTATTTGCTCGCCGCACAATGTGCGCGTTCCGCATTACAAGGTGCCTTGTTAGATGCTACAGCCTCGTCAGCCATTAACACATGCGTACGGGTTACTGTCGGATTCGACAATCGCGTAATTCGCATTTCATGTAATGCTAATTTGTATATGGCGGGCCCGCCTCGTTTCAACAGACTCTTTAGTTACCAATATTCGCATTATTGACCACGATGCGAAAGTAACTGCGTCGGGGCGCTTCTCGAAAAGTGATTACTTGATAGACGAACCGACACGTAATTATTTTACTCGCACCAAGAAAAGTCCGAGCGGTGCGCTCCTACACGATTAGATACAACCACAACAATCGGGTCCTCCATCGAAGAAAGTAGTGCAAATCAGTAAATATGATAGCCACTCTCTTTCGAAAGCTTAAACGGTCCTTCATATGGTGAGTCTAGCTTTACAATGTTGTTAAGTTTTTTGTCTAATCTAGGCGGTAGGGCAGATTAAGCAGACCTAAATTGGCAACATGGATGAAGCGGAATACCAAGACAGTTTGGAGTCATCGAAAACGCTTAACGTGTCACGCTTTTGTTTCCGTAAGACTTAGATCAACTCCTTTTCTAAGTCTTACGGAAACAAAAGCGTGACAAGAATAAAAACGCGTTGTCTAAGACCAACGTAATGGCTTACAGGACGCTGTTTTGTGAATCAGTGGTAAAAGTGGTCCTTTTTCTTGCAAATATTGTATCATGTGTCATGTTAAATGTCGCACAGGAAGTCAATAATACCAGTATGCGTCGCTTCGTCGAACAAGCCGTACATTCATACCGGTATATAAATCTGATGTCTTGTCTCATAAAGACCAGAGATGTTGATTGAAACGACAAAATATAGCTTTATGTATTACTTTATTTATATTTGATAAGCGTAAACTACATTCGCACTGCATCAAAGCTTCACATTGATGTCATCGATATACATTTTATGTATAGCGGCAAGTATAGTTGGAATATCACCCCGGTGGTACATACCTGTGTTACAGTGCAGCACCAACTAGTGACTGCGACAAGTGCACATCAATGACGTTAAAGGAAGTAGGCATCGAGGAGTTTAAGGTAGCTGAAATCTTGAAGTTTAAGGCACTTAATTTGACACCCAAGAAATCAGGAATTAAGCTCAGTGTCAAATTTGCCGAGAAAAATGAAATTGACAAAAACTCAGCGGGGCCTAACGCAGTAGTAGCAAGGATCTTACCAAGTATTTCATATTACTCGAGCCGCTAGATCTCGAAATCTAGTAACCTGATTAGCATGGATTGACAATCCAAACGACCTCTAAATCCAGTCTCAGATTAGCATTTTTAATGTATTTGCAACTCGTATAGTATCGTAAGCCTACCGATGTTCTATTTGGGTAGGACCGATTCGTCGCAAATGACTTGCTTGTCATGTCTCTCTTCAAGTCATCTTTGCCAAAATAGCATGCACGCCTCTGATTGCGCCTCTAAGAAGGCATTCTCCCTACTTATCTCTCTTGCAGGGCTCACTTTCTTTTTAAGATGTGTGAATGCATCGCTAGTTTTTATTCTTTATGCGAGCGCGGTAGTCTACGATTTTATTTACGATGCGCATACGTCTCTGTTGTGCAGGCCTCGTTGTACGGCTATAGGAGGTAAATTACAATCACCGGAGGTAACGTTTTTGCTGTTCGCCAAGAACGCTAAGTCCCCTCCTCTCGAAGCCGATCTTATGAAGACTCCTTGCACTGTAAAGGTTCCGCTATCACTCTACAAGAAACTCAGCGCCGCGTTATTTTACTATCCAATGAGGTACAACTGCTTATATCCATCTAATAGGAGATTAAATTTGTAGAAATGGCGGGTGCGCGTCACCACTTGACCTAGACTGGAAATCAAATTGTGGATACCATATAAGGAAATTATCGAATTTTGTCTTTACAACGGGGGACAAGTAAACTCACCGACCTGTAGACGACGATCCAGCAGCAGCATGTTGAGAAATACCATAATATGGTAGTGATTAATCGCAAAAACCCATCGTCGCAAAACTGGGGATCCATAAAACTCCATCTAGATTTTTTAACGTGTACGTGTCGTGGTAGTTAGATGAAGCCTCAAATGGCTCTCTAAATCAAGCATATGATCTGTGTATATTGTACGTTATTTGGATCAATCGTAGTTGCGTTGCTCAGAAAATGTACCACACGAGAATGTCCGTTAGACCTCATCATTAGATCACATCTTAACCCTTCATTTAATAGGTGTGCAGGCCGATTTGCTGTTGACAATCAACCAATTTACATTTACACTTATATAGAAAGAAATTTCTTCTTTAGATCTTTTTTCATCCAGCACCTCTGACTCAGCCGACTGTCTCGAAAGCACCGCTGCTTCTTGAACCAGTAAAGTTTCTCTAGATTGATTGTTGCTATCGTGTCTAATTTTCTCTGCAATTATTACTCGTCACGTGTGCGTTTGGTAGAAACGATGACGTTCTAACTGATCATACCTTGTACGATGATAATATCTTCAGTAGCGTCATCCGTGAGAGCTTTACAGAATCTATCACTGTCATCTATCTAGTTAGTAAAAAAAGAAGATCATCATTTACATCGGTCGACCTGACACCAACACATACGCGCGATATGTGACGTCCTTTTAGCCAGTAGGTGCAAGCTGGAGCACAGTCACTCGTCTCTCCATATAAGAACCTCTATAGAGGGTTAAATTTCTGTTTAAGGAATTTCGTGTCCCGCACCAAGCTGCGCCACTTGGTTTTCGTATGATGACTCTATGCAATAGACTTAAGAAATAGGGTAATAAAACAACGCGCACCAGCCACCAGTTTCCCTCTATATTGTAATTGCCACAGCCTCGCATTGCCTGCCACTTTGCACATGTTCTTCCGTTCCACCTTAAACATGCTGTCAAAGCGAACGATTCTGACGATGGAGCAAAAGAGTCGTGTGCAGGTGCACATCACACGCACAAGGGGCATAGAAATATTCCAAATAAAAGACTGGGTCAGGGATCTCGGCCTTCGGATCTCCACAACGGCAGCAGAACGGATTCGTCAGGCACCAGCCCACTCGTTCCTTACCACGGACAGGATTCGAAATCGAAAGGTGCTGTTTCCAGCGTTTATGGCTGCGTTCATTGCATTCTATCGTCTCAATGACGGCAACGTGATTCTCCCAGACGATCTACGACTAGAAGAAGGTCGCTCAACCCGAGCCGCTCAAGGGATAAGCGAGAATGACCTGCGGCTTTCGAATGGGTGGCTGCACAAATTTAAGACTAGACACGGCATCCATCAGCATGTGCTTCACGGCAAGGCAGACTCAGTTGATTGCGCTCAACTCGCCGTGAATCTAATGGAGCTTAAAGAGCTTATTGGACAAAATTCACCACGGTATGTATTCAAGTTTGACGAATCAGCTCTCTTCAATCGCCTACCTCCAAACAAGGATACTGGAAACGGCCAAGCGCAACGTGAAGAAGTCAGAGAAGGATCGTATCACAGTCGCAATGTGCTGCAACATGACCGGGACCGAGAAGATGGATCTCGTTGTCATAGGCAAGTCGAAGCAACCACGAGCATTTCGCAAATCCAACACCAGGCATATGAAGTTTTTGTACTTCAACAGCCAGACTGCGTGGAAAAACAGGTCAACATTTGCTGAGTGGCTCCGGTATTTCGATGCCAAGATGCACGGGAGGCGAGTGCTTTGCCTGATAAACAACGCGTCGTGTCACTATGGCGCCGCTGAATGATACAATGTCAAGCTGGCATTCCTGCCGCCAAATATGACAGCACACTTGAAACCGCTCGACGCAGGTGAGTTTGAATGGATGTTCTCTTGAACAGCAATTTATCACGTGTTTTTTTTCTGATAGGAATTATACGGGCATTTAAACCGCGGTATTGCAAGAAATTTGTTCGATGGCTCCTGGATGCAATCCACACCAGAATTGACTGAAATTTGAATATCCTGGAGACTGTGCGCTTCGCTATATCAAGCTGGGAGGAGGTACCCGAGCAAGTGATTCGTAACTGATGGAGCAAGTGTGCTATCTTGGGGGTGGTAATGATGGCCGATCTCACCCAACAACGCGACTACAACAAACGCATCGATGGATCTGTTGAGGACGAGCTGACCAAGCTCATGGAAGGTTTGACTTGCAGCGTCAGTGTCGTCGATTACATATGTGCTGATGACGACGAGCCGGTCGGATGCGACTCAGACGTGATAGAGCATGAGGCGATTGAGCACGACAATGATGGTGATAGTTCCGATGAGGTGACGATAGGGCCATCCGAGGCTCTAGACTGTTGTATCCGTCTGTCATCATTTCTTTCGCTACAGCATGACAGTGACGAATTGACGAAGAAGCTGGCAAGTATCATCGAGCACATTAGACAGCAGTGCTCGATGCGAAAGACTCAGTGTACCATAGATGCATTTCTTAGAATGGGTTCAGATTGACCCTCCATATAAGAGCGGTTTATACAAGAAACGAGGCAAAAACGCCACACATTTTGGTCCGCCATATGGAGGGACGACTGTATCTATATTGGACCTGCCAAATGTCACCTTCTCCGTATCGTATTCGATGCGTCGAGCTACATTGGCGCCGTCGAGATTGGTGAGCTACGTTGGCCTCGTCGATATCAACAAGCCGTGGGATAAAGAAGTATTTTTCGGCCCCTTTAGCTTGACGATGTCAACCTTCACGTGTTCTGGTCGACGCACATCCCACTGCACGCCAACAGTAGAAAGTGTGCGCTTGTTGCATTAAGTGGTCGGGTTTGGGAACACCCTATCCGGACAACAAATATGCATGTTGAGAACTTTTCTGATAAAGCAGGATTGCATCGTATATAGCCGTATCAAACTCATGTTGTATGGACGAATAAATCATGGCATATCACTCATCTGTCGTTAGACTAACAACGCGGGTCCAATTTCATTCTACCAACGTTAGTGCTTGTACAACCGATCTTTTCACTTTCCACGTCAACTCATCCATTACAGTTATGATAAACAGGGGAGAGGGTGAAGTCTTTTCTTACCCCACATTGTTGTTGTAGTCGATTGAATTTACATGCCTTTTCGTCAGATTCTCCGCGGTAGAAAGCAACGCAATGCGACAAGCGACACTCCTTCCTTGTAAGTCTTCTCACTTTAATTTAGCAACTTCAGGTCGTTCTCGATATACCCCTCCACTCGCAACTGCGTTGTGGCTGTGGTCGACCGTCTCATCGCAAAGCCATGACGATGGCTGCCATCAACGAGTCAATGAGTACAAAACGTACTGCGGTAGCATCTGTAGTAGCAGAAGCAGACGCGGTAAGAGTGGCCACGTGAATCGCTCGTAGTGGAACGTAAGTAACGAGCGACGAGCAGTTGAACGAGTTAGTATTGCTAAAAACTAAAGCTTTCCAGCCAAACGCGACCGCTCCTGACTCAAGAGCTTCTTGAGGCTGTTTTTAGGCGTAACCGACGATGCGCACGGGAACAAGTGATTCGCAGAGGGCTTCGAATCGCGCAAAGTACGATCTTAACGAGCCGCACAGGGCCGGCGCGCACACGTTCTCCCCGCAACTGTATCGCGTTTTTGCGTGGACCACACGAAACGAGCGCTGCTGTCAGTCAAACCACATCTGACTTTCGCACATGCAGTAGGACACCGTTTGCCATGCGAACTCTAATCGCCCGAGCGTCCCGTCGCTCGCAGTGCGTCTTGACGTCCACCCAGCGACGAACGAACGCCGCCCAATGCGCTCACTTTCGATGCAGTAGCATCAGAAGCAGTTGCGATACCAGAGACAGCGAAGGTGACTCTCGAACGAAGGGGCGAGCAGAGCATCTCGGGCCAAACGCCTCGTCACGTCCTGATGTAGACGTGTCGTTCTTACGAGATCTCGACTTTAGTGACACTGCCGCCCATCAAATCCTTTCCAAGTTGATGCAGCAAGTGGTCAAGACCAATGCCAATACGGGCGGTACGGGTTCGCCTGGTCTGAAGTATTGGTCGAGAGATGGTCTCGTGGTTTCAACGGGCTACTTTGTATCGTGCGGCTGTAGAATTTGTGCCTCGCATCGTGATTGACCGTCTATGCACGACATACCAAGGCAAGCGCATCGACGAGAAAAAGCAGTTTCTACTCATCCTGGCGCAGGAGTTGCACATTGACGCGACGGCAGTAAGTAGCGCCACGTGTCGAGCGATCTTGATAGCGTGTAGTTCGTCTCATGGTGTTACTGCATCGCGCTATCGGTACGGTCATTGACCGTTTGTAATGCTGTTCGAGCAGGTACTGCAGAATGCAATGCAGCTGGAGCACACCATACATCAGGTCAAGGACGCACGCACGGGGTGTGTGAACTGGGAGCATGACAACGTGGAGAGGTACTTGCGAACGTGTCGCAGTCTCCGCAATGCGCTGTCACCACTATATGAGGCACGAACAATGGGTTGTAGAAGCTGCGGCTATTTATGTAGAGCTGACCGTGTTTTGGTGCTGATGTTGTGACAGACCTTCTTCCAGCAAATTGTATCGCAGCGAGAAAATGGTATGCTGTTTTTAGTGCACCTGCGTGCGGATCTGCTTCAAGTTCTTCGCAAAATCGCAACCCGTTCCGAGATTCCCGGTCTGCGCTCGCTTGACGCAAGCTTAAAAGTGAGTTGTACTACTTTGTGAAAAGAAGTACGACGGTGTTTAAATATTACCGTGCGTGTCATTTTGGAATAGCACTTTCTGGCGTCGTGGTTCAACGTTGGCTTCATGAAGCTCGAGCGTGTGACTTACGAGCAATCGTCTGGGCAGCTATTGGAGAAAATAATTCGGTACGAAGCGGTGCATCCTGTGGGCACGATTGCCGAGCTGAAAAGACGTCTCGGTACGTCTGTACAAGCAGTTGGCGCAGCATATGATAGCGCGAGCGTGTGCTAAACGCTCGGATGCACTTGTTTTTCGCAGGCAATGGACGTCGTTGTTACGCCTTCTTCCATCCCAGGTAAGAAGTGCAACTGCAGTCGAGTTGCAGTCTAGTTGCAGTCTAGTCTAACCTTGTCATGTTTGAGTGCAGTATTCCGGACGAACCGTTGGTATTCGTGCATGTAGCATTGATGCAAGAGCTAGCATCTAGCATGCAGTCCATTCGTGAAGGAACGGAGCAATTGTTAGAAGCTTCCCAAGCAAAAGCTGCAATCTTCTACTCCATTTCGTCGACGCAGAAAGGACTTTCGGTAGGTCGGAATCCATTGTAAAAAGCTGGGGGTGGTTAGCAACGCGTCACTCAGTCACGTTTGATAATTGTTTGTATGAATGCAGGGCGTAGATCTGGGCAACTTTCTCATCAAAGAAGTCGCTAAAGCTTTGAAGGCGGAGTGTGGCCAACTGCAAGCGTTCGCAACGTTGAGTCCTATGCCACACTTCATACCGTGGCTCGAAACGCAGCGGTGTAAGGCTATTGCGTCGTTCGTTTCCCCACTATATTCGGACGCTCTCATCGAAGTGCTCGGCAGTCGTGGAATTACGTTCAGCTCAGAATTTTCCGCGTCAGTGGCAATTGTTTTGGATGCGCTCTCGATCGAAGGTTGGGAAACAGATACAAGACTGAGTGCACCGTTGAAGCCTATTCTGCTGAAGCTCGGTGCTCATTACATATACATTGAGAAGAAGCGCGGGAAGGCGCTAGATCCTGTCGCAAACTTCCACGTTCGGAATGGCGCAATTTTCGAGCGTATCAACTGGCTGGCCGACACGTCCAAAAAGGTTCGTGGACAGCTAAATCGGTTATCGTGTTGTTGTGCTCTCAGCTTTGTTACATTGTACAATGTATTGTTGCGTGCAGGGTATCGTCCAAAGCGCTGGGATGATGATTAACTACAAGTATGATCTAGCGCATGTAGAGGCCAATAACGAAAACTACCTGCTGCGCGACATCGTCCCCATTGGTGTGCAGCCACAACAAGTGCTCGAAGCATAAACGATCATATTGTAGCTTCGTTCAGCTTTCCGAACCACGTTAACCAGTAGTACAACTTACGATCGACAGCAGAGCGTTTTGGCTGTTTCGTGAAAATATGCGCAAGTACTGAATTTCTTTTGCACAAGCACACCACAGGAATCTTCTTGTCGAAACAGATCGCTCGACGCGGTCATACCCCTGATTTCGCGATCACTTTGTAGTCGGTGATCAAATGATCTGCCCGTCGTGGTAGAGTCGACTACAAGACGACGTCGGTTTTCCATTCGACAATCTACGGAGAAGGTAGTAACAGCTCGTGCAGCGGATCGTCGAATGAAGGAACGTTGTCTAGATCTACCGCTAGAACTAGTAGCTTTCGAATGTGGTGCAGACTGCTGTAAATGGCAACGAGGGCTTTTGTGACGAGACAAAGTCTTGCAAATTGCACACGGCGTCATGTTCGTAATCATTTCAGTAGTAGTTAAAGGCCCAAGGAAAGGTCTGCATCCTCGCATTTTCATCAGCGTCGAACGCGCAACTATCAAAAGTCTAAACGCAAACACGTCGGAGTAGTTGTTCAATAAATCGGATACAAGCGATTTGAATCTTACTCTCCTACTACATGTCACAAAGACCACGGCAAAGGTCAACGTGCTCGTGGCATCTTCGGCTTTCTTTTCCAGTGCGTCGCCACTGGCTCACGCATAGCGCGATATTTGGAGTCTCTCTTGTACACAGTTGTCAGGAAGCAACCTCAGATATATTGGATCGAAACTCATCGGAACTTCTGTGCACGGTATCGATTGACAATCAGAATTTGCGAAGAAAGGATCGTGGCATATTCAGCTGCACTAATCGATGCGTCTACTCTCGTCAGGGCGATCCTGACCTCAGCAGTACACTGCCATGCCTTCCGTTTTGGTCGTCAGGCCTTAGTAATTGTGTAGACCCAAATTCCAACTCAAAGCGCATCGGTGCAAGGCAACTAGCCACCGAATGTCGTCTAGCGCGAGTCACTACCATGTTGTACCAACATAGATTGCCCAAGTCTTCGTGACCGACTTTGGTAACGTGCTTCGGTGAATTCGTGGGATTATAGGTCGTGCACCGCCGCCTCTTTGGCTCAATCCTATCGCATGGTATATTGTGATCCTCAGCTTATTTTCGCTGGTGGCGTGGTCAAGTAGTCAAGTTTGCGGGATCTGAGTACTGGACGTTGGGTAGGAGCATGATGCCGTGACAAAATTTTGCTTGGATGCACATTCGAGGTCCAAACGACGCGGCTGAATGATCTCTGGCGGTGTATGGTCTCGAGTCAAATGCTCAGAGGCCAGGAAAGCCTTGTTGGGCACCGATAAGATCACGACAAAGACGACGAGGCAGACGCTGTTTCTGCGTGCAGCTTGCCAAGTGACTCATTAGAGACAAAGTTGACTCTAAGACTTTGTTGTCGCTCACCACAAGAACACCACGAGGTCTCCTGGGTGTCAGTTGCTTTGCCAGCTTTAGTCATAAACTTTACGCGAGTAAATACATCACCCACCGGCATGATTTCAGAAAGCTATAACCGAGATGTGTGGCTTAAGCAAACAAGAATGTTTACTACTGTAGCAACCTGCAAGATACATATTACGACGTGGAACACATCATACGTGATCCTGAACGAGTCCAGGCTATATATGGCTGTCGGATAGGCACTCCGCTATTTGTTTCACCAAATTGGTCGGTCTCCATGCGACTGTTAGCTTTGAGATGCCTTCTCATGCAAGTAATGATAGTGATAGCATTTATCTTCATGTGACGCCAAGGCAATACACAGCCACATTCTACGCTCGCTTCTGCAATAACGATTGCGTGCCACTTTTCAGGGTTCGACATGACGGACAAGCGCGTAAGTGAACGTACTACCGTGTAGTATGAAGCAGCTGTCATGTTTCCTATCGCTTCCGAAATTCAGGTCAAACAAAGCATCAGTAGAACAAGGCGAATGTACACAGGGATATCGAGAAAGGAGGAGGGATCGGCACGCCCCTTTGGGGGCCTCTCCATGTACATCCAAACGGACATTCGCCCGCAAACTCTGATCGTCTAAAGCTTTGTTGGGTACAGAAACCCGCCATGTTTGTGCTAACGGATTTAACAACAAACCTCGCAGAACCTAATCCGAGGATAGCGTTGTCAACAAAACAATGTGCGAACTGGCGTGGCGATCTCCCGTGGAACTTGTGCTTGCATCTCTTCTGGTCGTTTGTTTGATGCATAACATCGCGCATCGATTTCGTCATGTGAGTTCTACCTCTTCTGCGGCAGTTTTTGGCCTAATGCGAGTAAAGAACTTTCGTTGGGCACTTTCATACGATCAGTACAATTCGATGGCACACTGTTTGCGATGAGGTGTAGATGGTCAGCTGTAGTTCTTGAGCGCATGCATCGTTGAGGGATGTAATGGTCTGGCCTATCAGACTCGACTAAGTAATTGTTCATGTGACCTCGAACACTGCTAAGGAATACATAAGGCTTGTCGGGATCGCAATTGCCTTCAGTAAGTACTGGGAAAGATGGAAACGAATTATGTACCTGTAGTCGGCGCACTAGGAGATCTCCAGCGACGTTGTCATCACGCCACCCAGTTTGTATGCGAAAGTCGCTTTTCGTCAACGCTTACTGCGAAGTGCGGCTCATTATGATATGCACCCGAGACCTGGATCGGTGGTACGTTGAGAAGAGAGCGAACGAGCTGAGTGAGCTATCAGCTCACTATATGAGAAGAGGACTGATCTTTTTGTCCCAATCGACAGGTCTTTGCTTGACTTGAAACGCTCAATAAAGTGGTGCGAGTTCTTGTATCCCATTGTACAGAGGTGATGAAAACTGGAATAAGATTTTGCGGGGTGATTGCCATAGAACTCGTGGTGAAGGATAGTGAAAGCCGAAAAAGACATTTATAACAAAACAGTGAGAAATTGGACGCGTGATCCAAGCTAAGATGATAAGCGATGACTTCAGTTGAGGACAATAAGCTATTGAGCATCGTGGATAAATCGGTGGCCGGGGCAAAACTCTGTTCCGCTAGTGCGAGAGAGAAGAACGAGCTCTGGCGTGATGTGCGAAGGTAAGCACATGACAGAAACGTCTACGGTCTCGAAGTAGTTTCAGTGGGCAAGCATCGAGAAGACCGAAATGTAAACGTGGGCAAATTGGTGCGAAATGCTACAAGGCTAGCAGACTTAAAATGGCCAAAGACAACAAGGATCCATCACTTGGTGGCTTCGTTGAACACTTTGCGTCAGATGTGATGGCAAAGGCGAACAATTAGGGGAGGTGTTGTCGGTCCATAGACGCGATTACTATTTGTATTTTTGTCAGGTTAGAGATCGAAGGACATTCGCTGTTGTACTTCGGCTAGCCTGTAAATTGAAAGGTCACGATGTTGCTGTGGTTTTCGACGATCAGGACGCAGGGAGAGTTGAAGAATGTTCTTCACAAGGGGCGGTGAACAATTGTGGAATCGTTGAGAAGCAACCGAAGACTGGTGCGTCCGATCACCCCTGATAAGGCCAACCCAGTAACATGATTTAGTGGTCGCACGCATTCTGGACATGGGGATGTCACAGCGACAATGGATGTTGCTCACTTTGTATGCCAGCATTTATCAACTCTACGTCCAACGCATTGGCGTTCGAGTGAAGTAGGCCTAGACCGACAAAGGCTATAGATCTGCGGTGCCTGAAACGACAGATCGGTACATAGCGTAAGCGATCGGGCATTTCGATTTTGGATCGACAAACTATCACGTTTCAAGCACTGCGCGTGAATGTACCGATCATTTATGCCAATGTCTAATGCTACATGAAAGCGATCTGCTTTTCGCTTCGTGCCCAATCTAAGGCATCGCACAGTGCGAAACTATAGGGAAAACCAACAGTGCACAAGAAACTTCTTGCGAGATGATGCTGGAAATGACACCTGGTAAATTCTGTTGCATGAGTCGTTTATTCTTTCGTGTAGGAAGAAGACAAGAAGAAGTAGACCTACTATTTACGCACGGATATACTGCAAATTGACTACTTGATATGATTTGCCTTGCAGTGGTTGCATTAATCGCATTTCGTCCTCCCTACTACGAACTAACCATATCATCATCCAATGTTCACTTACGAATACAGAGGTGCTTACATATTCGTTTCACATATCCCACACACATCCTACGTTTATACGATTGCTTCCTTTCCTTTCTTCTTGTATACCTGTCGATGGAGACCATCTGGCGACTTATTGATTATCAGCAAAAACAAACCATCCTACGCCTTGTATTAAATAGTTGTGGTGGTGACAAGCGTGATAACTCCGCGCACATATATTATACTTGACTCGATGTAATCATCAAAGCATCAACCATAATCATTTTTAGTTTGCAAAACTACACGATGCAAAAGGTTCAACATAATTTGATCATACACGAAGTCCATTCTATGTGCAGCATCTATAAGGGCAACCTCTGGTAATTTGCTGATTAGCGATTTTTGAACAGTTGTTGTTGTGAATCAGTGCATGCGTTTGCAACCCATAAAAACAGTTGCTATAGTAGATGCTTTGTTCACTAATTTCTTATTGTAAGATCTAAATAGCTGGTAGGGTTACTGGAATACATCTCCATAGTATGTTAAGGATCTCTTCGTCGGACCGTTTGCGTATGATGGAAACCCGCTCACATGTACAACCGTGACGGAGCAAGTCGAAGCAAGATCTCAAGATGCTTACCACGATGCGAGGAGTTCTGGTAGTACATGCATATACTTAGACACACTCAGAATCATAGGATGATATTACGAAGATGCGAGCACAGATCTCGGTCGTGAACGTTCTGTGACCTATGTTGCAAAACATGCTAAACTGTGATCTTGTAAAGAAGCGAAGCAAATGATGCGATCACTTGGATCTAACCTAAGGGTGAGCAATTTAAATTACCTTTCTAGCTGATACACCGCGCCGGTCTTGTCATCATAGTGTCCAGATAT